ACACATACCTTAAAAGTCTTTGCACAATGAAGTTTGAATTTTTGTATGCGATTTTTTTTTTTAATATTCTTATGCGAAAAAGTTGTAACAAACCTTGCACACTCTGTATTACTCCGACTTTTTGTATGTAGCTTTTTGCTTGTATGGTGGGTATGAAATAGGGATGCACCGATCCCGATACTTAGATCAGATATCAGTTCAATATCGCATATTTTTGCTGGATCGGGTATTAGCCAGCTGGCACTGATTCAAATCCGATCTTGCGCGTGCACTATATTCTGTGTAATTTATAAGCCATTAAAAGCCACGAAGGTAGCCTATTACAAGGCACTGCAAATGTATCATGTTGGCCTCCATTATTCTTATAAAGAGCTAATGTTCTCCATTCCTTCCGACTGAGTTTATTCGTTTGAGGTGAATACAATATATGCTGCTAATAGTTAGTAAAGCCTGGCTCATTGTGATCAAGGTAGTTGATTAAATTAATAAAAGTGAAGCAAACGGCCAGGCACATATAAATTGTCATTAACAGAAAATGATTTATCCTAATATAGGCTTCTCTGAAACTGTGAATATTTCACTGTCATTTTATTTATATTAATATTTTATTTAACAAGTTTGTCAGTTTGTACACGGACCTTGTTTTGAACTTCACCTCAAATATTCTTGTTTATTTTGTGAATAACTGACCAACAAAACTACACTGAAATAATCAACTAATTATACCAAATGAAATTCGTTTCAAATGATAATTTTTCAGACAAAAAAAATTATTGTTCAGACATGCTTTCAGTTTCTCCATCGCACTCACGTCAAATTTAGGTGAGGGAATGTTTATTAAGTAAAACTGGCCTCAGACAGTTTAGTCTGCTTCAAACCTGCAGGAAAATATCAGGCTTTGCTAAAAGGCAGGTTATTTAACCAACGATTAGGGTCAATGGTGGTAGCCTAGAACAGAGTTCAAAGAAAAATCCTAATCAAAAAAGGAAACATAAGCTGGACCCCAACTGATCAGATCTATGTCATAATGAATGCTCAAATAATGTAGCCTATAGTATATAGCAAGCATCATGTTTTTAGTTAGATTTTGTTGTCTGTCATATAATGTGCCTACACACTAGGTGTGTTATTTTCACTAAAGAAGATATATTATTTTGTGAAACTGAATCGGGATCAGATTTTTAAAAATGGTATCGGTGCATCACTACTATGAACTGTCTAAACCCCTCTGAAAGCATTTTTTCGGATGCAAAAATTTGAAGAAATCGAACCTGGTTTGAATTTTTTTTATGACAGACAAAAGTTTCAGTGGCAAGTGTGTCAGTACGATTTACACAACGTAAGGTCGAATTTATGTATTACGTATGAAAATTACAGACAACAATTTCAGATTCAGTGTGCAATAAAATGATTAGCTACTAAGTTAAAAGTAATTTCACTATAATATTATGAACTAAAAATCCACCACTTCCATACAGCTGTCAGATCCCTGTAAATGCTGCTCTCCGAACCACTGCCTACCTCCCCTGTGCATATTGTGTTGCTGCTGTGAAAATCAGTTGTAGTGCATGCATTGAAACTCCCCTTTTCAAGTAGCAAAACTACAAAAACGTGATTCCCTATCTGTGAAAAGCTACATCCAGCACTTTAACACAAACACAACTGAGTGATGAAGTACTAGCACCAGCTAAGCCCTAATGAATACCATCCATTCTACTTTGCAATGTTGAGCAACCTTGTCTACATACGCCACAGGCGCAGAAACAAAGTCAGGCTGGATCTTTAAAGGAGGTTCAAGTCAAACTAAGAGAAAAAAACCTGCCAGCCTTGCAGCACAACACCATGGAATGTTTTTTTAATTTGAGGCATCCTGCTGTGGCAATGAGAAACAGAAGCAGACTTTACAATCACTTCCATATATGTACATGTCATTTGCATTCAGTGTTTGCAGTGTGTATATTTTATAACTGTGTACATAAGATAATATGGAAAGATGGATTGTTGTGGCTTAGCAATTACCACACATGCTCTGCTGCTTAAGTGGACGATGTATTTTCTAAACCTTTGAATGTTTCCGCAGGCTGAAAACGTGCTGTCAGTTATTAAGTAACTTACTGACATCTAGTGGTGACTGTCGACAAATGAGTATTTACAAAGCATATACTGTAGCAGGATTCACAAAAACATCATTTAGAACATTTAAAAAATATATAAAAAGACTGCAAAATATGTTTACTTCCATAAGAGGGGATATTAATTATGAGGCTGTATAATTAAAGTTATCAAAATTATTTTAAAATAAAGATTTTGAAGTCATGTGATCTATTTATCTTCTTGCATTCATAATATACACTCACCAGCCACTTTAATAGGTACATCAGATTGTTAAGAAAGGAATGGTGTATTTTATATTTTATTACAATATATATTATACCTCGGCTGGGTAAAGTTGGCTTTTCTGTGTAGAGTTTGCATGTTCTCGCCGTGATCGCGTGGGTTTCCTCCGGGTGCTCTGGTTTCCCCCACTTATCTAAACAAATGTCCATAGGGTATGTGTGTGAACGAGTGTGTATGGATGTTTCCCAGTGATGGGTTGCAGCTGGAAGGACATCCGCTGCGTTAAAACTTATGCTGGAATAGTTAGCGATTTCATTCCACTGTGTTGATCCCAGATTAATAAAGGGACTAAGCCAAAAAAAAATTTATGAATAAATGAATGAATATTTATTATATATATCATTATTATTAAAATATATTTATTATATATTATTAGTGTATTATGTTGTATTAGTGGTCTTTAAATAGTTAAGATTTAAACATTTTCCGTATTTGTTTCCCTAACTGTTCACTTTATATGCATTACAGAGACTAATTCTCATTTAAATAAAAAAAAAGAAAAGAAAATCTTTTTCTTTCCCAAGATGGGTAAATTTGTGTATAGCAAAAAAAAAAAACAACAACAATAAACACTAGAAATATTGCCACAAATTTTGAAAATGTTTGTGGAAAAATAAAACATTTCAGGTAGTAATATAATCAAAATGTTTCACTAAAATGAATTATAAGGTTGTATAATAAAAGTGCTTCTAAAATAGAAATTTGCAGTCATGTGATGGATATTTCAGGGTGATTTCAGGAACTGAGGAACCTCTTCTTAAAATCATAATATATAATCTGGAGAAACGCATTTGCACACTCACTAGACATCAAAACTACACATGCATTTTTTTCTATTAATGTGTCATTTAATAAATTAATTGATTAATAAAGCAGTATTTTTAAAAAAATTTTATTTATTTATTTTTTGTGGAAAGACATTCTATTACAGTGCTTTAATCTGTGTAAAAACTAAGGGCTTACAACAAATACAGGGCCAGATTTACTAACAGCACCAAAAACACCCACAGACAGTGTTTTATATTCGTGTAACAGATCCCAAATCTCACGGTTTGGATCACGTTATGATTCTTTCCGATCAGCCATTTATTACAAAAATAGTACCGCTAAACATTTTTGGTTTTAACAAACAGAACTTAGAACCTGTAATTTTATTAAAAATAAAGTGTAAAAATAATTAGCTGAAAAAATGGTAAAATAATCAGTGAAACTAAAAAATTCACTGTTACCACTACTGTTGCTAATATGTTGCTAAATGTAGAAATCTAACATTATAATTTGTACAACCCATATTTATTTTTAGTTTCATTTTCAATAAATGATTCAGTTGTTCACTCATAAAACTTTATGTTTTATTGCTAGATTAATATTTTTTGTAGAATTATACAGTGGCATTTTTTGGATGGCTGGTTGTTCACCTATCGGTTAAACAGTGTAATTGCTGCCTACAACTTTCATTTTTGAGTGTCATTAAATGCATATGACTGTGATTTTAATCTTTACCATAAACATCAGTCGATATGTCTAAATTAAACTGTTATCCCAGTACTTCTGTGTTATTTGACTGTTTGTACCTTCATAACTAACTCAAAACACTAAAGACTGAATCTCTTACTTGATTTTTGAGTTTTTTAAACACAGATTTGAATGCAGCTATTTAAAGGATTAATAAACATGCAAATCACCATCATTCATAATTTTTGTTGCAATATTGTTGAGATCCTGATCTTTTAAATGATTAATCATGCAGCTTACACTGAATGCATTAATGCAGACTAAACAAGCAGGGACAGAAAACACCTTTAATAACCTAAGAAACCCTCCACATCCACAATAACCTACCGTGACTTCTTACGTCATCATTATATTTTACAGGAAAGCTTAAATTCTTTTATACATGTGATTTGAATGACATGAGAGACAGTCTCCCTGTGATCATTACAAATTTAGAATTAATCTACAAATTAAAAAAAAAATGTATTAATCCCCGGGTCACAAGTGTTCAAAAATGTGGGTTGGGATTTGTACGAATCATTGATAAATCGTGATCCTTTACAACACAAGTATTTTAACAGGTTGACAGCATTGTACTAACAAATGGAAAATAAATAAATTAACAGTGGAAAAAACATAGGCAAAGACTTAAAACCATGATGGGTAAGAGCCGATGGAGGATATACCCCTGCTCTCTACTATAAGTGCCATGGGATTTTTAAGGACCACAGAGAGTCAGGACCTCGGTTTAACATCTTATCTGAATGCTTACTGACAGTATAGTGTCCCCTTCACTATAATGGGGCATTAGGACTCCACACTCAACACTACTCTCTTATGAAACTATTCCAGCAGCTACCTAGTTTTCCCATGTGGTCTCCCATGCAGGTACTAACCAGAATTAGCTGAGCATAGCTTCAGCTAATGCCTATGTGTTTGTCTGATGCATTTAACAATGTATTGTCATTCCCTACATAACTAAGTTTGTTAACTCTTGTTTACAGTATTATTTTTCCAGTGTGCCTTTTAAATAGAAAAATGCTAAATAACATACATGGGGGAAGGACACAAAAAGATCTTCACAGGACCTACACAACACGAACATTTACCTGGAGAGAGCGATGTTGCGTAATAACCTCTCGGTGGTCTCTGACAGATCTGAAGGTACCAGGATCTCTACAGGTTGTATTCTCAGTATTCTGGATTCCAGCTCTGAATGGCTCATATTATCTTTAAAACAATCCACCATCACATCCCCAATGCTTGGCTGGACCACCTGAGCTCAAAATAGAAAGCAGGGCTGCAGTATATGTATAGTAGGGTGAGATTTAATTCAGTCACTACAATGATTACTTACCACCATTCCTACGGTCAGCTCCTTGCTCTGTTTGTCAAAACTCTCGCTCACACACATTAGATAGTTGTTTCCACTGTCCTGCACCACATCTTCAGCTTGCTCCAAATCTCCCAGCTTTAGCAGAGGATTCACATCTGAGAACAAGACAATGGATTGGATCATTATGGGTTCTTTAACTGATAACTGACTAGTTTTAATTTTCTTTATTATTTATTTCAGTTAAGCTTAACTTTACACATTTAATAATAATATAGATAATAATTATATGTTAACATTTGGCATTATACCACAGTCCTTATGTTTAAAGAGGCCATATTATGAGTGTTTGAAAATGACCTTCCAAGTAGGGTGTAACAGCTTGGAGGAAAGTGAAATATCCAGCTATGGCTTAAATCTGTAAGTGTAGTGTTTAAAACTGTTGATTCATCTATAAAAGAGTCGACTCATAGTGTTTCAAACGAGTTGCCTAGATAAAGAGTCATTAGGTGTTTCGCTGTGTTGTGGCTGCAAAACACAAGCCCCGCCTAGTAGTAACCGGGAGATTTAAAACCTTAAACCTTAACCCTGCCCACTAACATAGAAAAAAAGGCTAGACACACACTGTAATTTATCAGAGGCCGATTGAATAAAGTCACGCTGTGCTCAGATGGATATTATTGAAAGTCTCTCTACCCAAAGATGAAACTGTAAAGAGAGTCAGTGGTTGAGGTTTTTTTTGCAAAAATACCTCATTGCAGTGCTTCTGGGAACTACATGCTTGCACACAAGAACTCATCGGCGGTTTGTTAAAGGAAGGATCAGAAAAGACTACTGATGTAAGGGACTATGTCAGAACATGGATCAGTGCACATGGATCAGTCTCTTCCTCAATTTCACCAGTGTAAGTACGTGCGATTAAAACTGTTGCCTCGTTTACTTTAGCTTTCAAAGTATGTATTTAATTGTGTTTGGTTACTGGGTAGGATAAACTTTTTATTCGATAAGAAAAGATGTGCATAAACTGCGATGGAAACACTTTTACCGCACAAACTCCAGCATGCGCATTAAAAAAGGTCATGTGATTTTGTTAAAAGAGATCATGTGATGCTTAAAATGTGTGTGAATGGACAAAAGGTCAGGCTGAGCACATTATAATACATCTGAAATGTTATTTTGGTCATTATAAAACACCTTACCATTTCAGTATTAATGTTATTATATTATTAATGACCTCCAGAATCAAGAGCGACTGTGCTCCACATCTGACACCTTCAAACGCCACTGCGCGCTCACTGCTTGTCAGGATTGACTTCTGAGGCGCATTCATTTAAAAAAGATTGATGCAGCTTCTCCTACTGCAGCAAATGCAGTTTTTACTGTTGATATTTGGCGCCAGTTAATCAGGAAGTGACGATTTTGTTCGCTTTGACTCGTTGGATGGAAACGCTGCTTCATTCGCACAACTTTTATGCGATAATCCAGTTTTGCGCATAAAGTTTATTCGCATTTTTGGATGGAAACATAGCTATTATTTCATGTATAATAGGGGCTCTTTAAAACAAGAAAAATGTGATTGCCTTTGGCTAATATTGCTCACATGGAAGGACTCCAAGTTTTAAGCAATGTCTTATGGAACTATTATACCACTTGACCTTGTCAAAATACAATTTACTGTAAGAGGTTTTATTGATATTTTTTATCTTACTGGGCAACCTGTTTTAGATCTTTTACTTAGTACTACTGTAATATTATTATTTGTTTGTAATTTATGTTAATATTAAACATATATTCTTATAGAACCAACTCTAAATGTATACATGTGTGTAATGAGTTTTGTCTGCTTGTAAAAAAATATAAAACACTTTTTTAAAGAAAAATTAATTTGTTCATTCATTCGGCTTAGTCCTTTATTTATCAGGGATACCCACAGCGGAATGAACAACCAACTATTCTGGCATTTGTTTTACACAGCAGATGCCTTTCCAGCTGCTACCCAGTACTGGGAAACACCTATACACACTCATTCTCTCTCACACAAACACACACTCATACACTACTGCCAATTTTTGTTTACCCAATTTGCATATACTGTATGTCTTTGGAATGTGGGGGGAAGTTGAGCACAAGGAGGAAACCCACGCCAACACGAGTAGAACATGCAAACTCTACATAGAAATGTCACCAAATCAGAGACAGTGCTAACCACTGAGCCACCGTGCCGCCAAACCTAGCTTTACAATTAGCAAAAATGCATTCAATTGACAAAAAGTGGCAGTGAAGAGATTTGATTTCCAAAGCTGTTCTTTTACTTTCTATTTGTCAAAAAAATCTGAATAAAATGCCATTACATTTCCACAGTTTAAGCAAACAGTTTTGTGCTATTTTTTCTAACTTTGGATAATATATACAGTATACAACATATTTATATGCAAGTATAACTACATTACTTTCATCATAAAATAAAGATCTATTATTAAGTAATGTTAGTTAATTTATTTACCGACATGAACTAAGATGAATAAATTCTTGCAGAGCATTTATAAATTGTGTTTATTATATTAATTTCAACATTTACTAATGCATTATAAACATCCAAAGTGCTTTTTGACATTGAATTTCTATTTTTCATTAACTTTACATGATTAACAAACATGAATAAATACAGCAACAAATAAGTTGTTCATTGTGTGTTCATGTCAGTAAACACAAAAAGACTGATAATAATAAAAACATTTTTGCACAAAATTTAAATCCGAGAATGCACTTTAGAAAGAACTGTATTTTTATAAAATAAATACAGCATTAGTAAATAAAAGAAACACATATCAAAACATAAAATAAAATAACATTAAATCTTGCCATATGAATTTATTGTAACTAGATGACATGTAATTCCAAGGATCAACTCTCAGATTAAAAATATCATAGTTATACAAGTTATATAATAACACTACCTGATAGAAGTCCGTTCCTGAAGTTTTAGAAACAACAAATAATAACTTCTAGTTTATGACTCCTATGAGCTTGGACGATTGCATCCATACATCTTTGAATGACTTAAATTACTTATTAATAAAGTCATCTGGAATGGCAAAGAAATCGCTCTTGCAGGACTCCCAGAGTTCATCATCATTCTTTGGATTCATCTTCAATGCCTCCTCCTCCATCTTACCCCAGACATCATACAGCTCAATAATGTTCATGTCTGGTGACTGGGCTGGCCAATCCTAGAGCACCTTGACCTTCTTTGCTTTCAGGAACTTTGATGTGGAGGCTGTAGTGCGAGAAGGAGTGCTAACCTGCTGAAGAATTTGCCCTCTCCTGTTGTTTGTAATGTAATGGGCAGCACAAATGTCTTGATACCTCAGGCTGTTGATGCTGCCATTCACTCTGCAGATCTCTTGCACCATCCCATATTAAATCTAACCCCAAACCATGATTTTTCCTTCACCAAACTTGACTGATTTCTGTGAGAATCGTGGGTCCATGCGGGTTCCAATAGGTCTTCTGCAGTATTTGTGATGATTGGGATGCAGCTCAACAGATGATTCATCAGAAAAATCTACTTTCTGCCACTTTTCCAAATGATCAACTAGAAGTGAAGTTATTATTTGTTGCTCGTTTAACTGGGATCGACGACAAGACTTTTGTGAGGCAGTGTATATAATAAATATAAGTAATTCCAAAACATCTCTGAGGTTATTAAAACTAAGTTTAGTGAAGAAACTGTGTTTGATTTAGAGACATGAAAAACTGTTCAATTCCAATTCAAAATGCCTACATAAAAATGTAAACATACATTTTAAAACATATTACTGCTGCTAGTCTAGTAAAAAAAATATAAAAAAAAACAGGAAAGAAAGTCAACTAGAAATCTTGTGAGTAAGAAACAATACCTTCTCCCACAAGTGTGGACTTTGTGTAAAGCGCATGTAGCTGGCGTGAAAAGAGTGAACTTTTGTTAGCGCTGGACGCTTTGATGGCTGTAGTTTCGGTCTGCTTCACTACACCAACCTAAGAAACCATGAAGCATGATAACAGTGTTACTGACCAGTGTACCAAAAAAATCTCATTGTGACTACTTATGCATATCGCATTTAAGCATTATAAGCAAATCGTAATGAAGAGAACATCACTGACCTTGTAGCCCTGAGAAACTAGTCGACGAACATGCACAAACAGTCGATGAGTAGGGATGCTGGCTGTCATGAAGTTATGGTCCAGATGACAAGTGATATTGAGTTCCTTTGCAGCAATCTATTACAGAAACGGATATCCAAATGATAAATAGATACATATCTATATTTTGCTTTAAGTCTTCAGACAACAAGTAAACAATAAAAGGATCATCACTTCAACCAAACATTACAATTTACAAAGCAATTACTCACCCACCACCTATATGAGATTTATTTTTTTCTGTTGAATACAAAAGAAGATATTTTGAAGAATGTTACAAACTGGTAGCTATTGACATCCATTGTAGAGAAAGCCTGTGGTTACCAGTTACATTCTTCCGAAAATCTACTTTTGTGTTCAGCAGAAGAAAAAAAAATGTACAGGATTGCACAACACGATCCCACTGCAATCCATAACTTTTTGATTTAGTGGCTAATTCGTATGAATATGTATGATCATATTCGCACAATTAAGTATAAATTTGCGCATCCCCCAATGACAGTTGGGTTTAGGGGTTTGGTGCCATGACTTCTGTTTAAAATCAATACATTTTTGTACGACTGTACTCTACGTTGAATCATGTATGAATTCGTACATATTAAATACATGTGGTACAGGTAAGCTAAATTGTCCGTAGTGTGTGAGTGTGAATAAGTGTGTGTGGATGTTTCTCAGTGATGGGTTATGGCTGGAAGGGCATCCGCTGCATAAAAACGTGCTGGATAAGTTGGCGGTTCATTCGGTTGTGGCGACCACAGATTAATAAAGGGACTAAGCCGAAAAGAAAATGAATAAATTAATGATTTCAAAAATTAAAGTTCTGCATCAAACTTATAAGCTTTATGTTAAGTGACTACATCTTTTTGTTTTATTTGGAATAAACTCATTCATATAGACAGATTCATTTGGATTACTTTTACAATGCCTTATTAGCATTTTGTAGCTCATAAATATAGGTGGAAAGTACTTTAATTGAACATGTATCCTCTCCGGATTCATTACACGAATCTTAACTTGAGCTCCTAAAAGCATTTTGATAGTGTTTTGAAAGCACTTTAAAGAGCGTGAAGAGCAATGATAACAGTTAAATAAATAATAGGGGCTCATCCATTTTTTTCCAATCAATTCTTTGGTGAAGCTAATTTGCATAGTTATTTAGCTGTATTACAGCTTCATACTTGTGTAAACGGGAAAAGCTTTTCAAAAAGATAAAACCTATTTTCTGGCACAATTTTACTAATCAATACTTTAAAGGGCACCTAAGTTAACCTTTTTTTTCAGATTTAATGTAAGTGTTTTGCATCTCCAGAATGTGTCTGTAACGTTTCAGCTCAAAACACCCATCAAATTTTTCATTAAACCTTTTACAAGATTCTATTTTATACATTTTTCCACCAGGGGGCTGTTTTGTCATACTGCGCCTACAAGGCAAGGCAAGGCAAGTTTATTTATATAGCACATATCATACACAGTGGCAATTCAAAGTGCTTTACATAAACAAGAATAAAAGAAACAAGTAAAATAAAAATAAAAACAAATAATAAAAAGGAGTAAAAAAAAAACATAAAAACAGATAAAAAGTGATATAAAAGAATGAAGAAGTGAAAAAGCATAATAGTGCAATCTGTCGGACACAGCACAGTGCTCATTCAGTAAAGGCACAGCTAAACAGATGTGTTTTCAGTCTTGATTTGAATGTGCCAAATGTTGGAGCACATCTGATCATTTCTGGAAGCTGATTCCAGCAGGGGAGGCATAGTGGCTGAAAGCTGATTCATTCTTTAAAGTCTATTCTGCATGTAACTGGCAGCCAGTGTAAAGACCTGAGGACAGGTGTGATGTGCTCTGATTTTCTGGTTCTGGTCAGAATTCTGGCAGCAGCATTCTGGATGAGCTGCAACTGGTAACCATTGACATCCATATTAGGAAAAGCCTATACTATGAACGTCAATGCTTACCGGGTGTCTGCAAATCTCCAAAATATCTAATTTGGTGTTCAATAGAACAAAAAAGCTCAAACGGTTTGGAAGTCAAGCGTGAGTACACGAGAAGAGATTTTGTACCCTGGGATTAACTATCCCTTTAAAAGAGTTGTTGTATGAGAAGCCTGTCCACCATAATTTGACAGCTGATTCTAATGGAAACTGTTTGAAGACTTAATTCCTGTCTCTAGCAATGACAGAGATTTAAATTCAAATCCGCTGATTGAGCCTCATCGTTAAGAATTAGACTAGATTAAGCACGCTTAAGAACTCAGCTTTTTCAATTGAGATGTGTTGAAAAGAGCCGGATTCTGATTTTAAGCTTAGAAAGCTGGATCCTGAAGCTCAGCAACCTCAATGAATAGGCAAGTTCCAGCCGTATCCTCCCTCCTCCAGTGCTGCTAGCTCAGCAGCTGATTGTGATGTCGGCAAGTAGCCTTCGTAAGTTTGGTCCCTCCCTTCAAAGGAGGTGAAGTGGATTTGTATTTTATTGTAATTGAGCTTATTGATGGATTTGTGAGCTCATTTGCTACAATGGAATATTGCTTGCAAAGCTCAATATGCATGTGCAGCACTGTCAGTTGAAAGTTCATCCAGCCACCGCGGCCTAGACTGCGGGTCTGCACAGGAAGTTTGGCCAGAGGAGAAATGGTTGTGCCCAACTAACCCTGATTTCATTTAAGGTTATTTTCTTTCACTCATGTCAATTGGTGAAGTTTTATCCTTGTTGACTTGTGGAGCTGCAAGTCGATGGATTTGCTCTTCAGTGGACTTACAGCAGTGAAATTAAACCCACACTGAACTGCACTAAACTGAACTTCAACTCTGAAAACTGGACTGACACTGTTTCAATTTACTAGAACTTCTATGTTAAGCTGCTTTGACACAATCTATATTGTAAAAGTGCTATAAAAATAAAGATCAATTGAATTGAATAGTTACTGTTACTTGGTTAAATCTACATGCATACAGACAATCTAGTCCCTAAAGCCTATAGGCAAAAGTGTAGACAGTGCTCGAAGACGCACAACTTTTTTTTTTTTTTTTTTTTTTTTTTTTAACAGAGTTTGCAAGTGAAAATCATGAGCCGTTAGAGTAATGGTGCTTTGCAAGCAAAATTACAACTCTTGAGGAACTTCAAGAACTTTTGCTGCTAGAGGATTTCAAGATTTGCATTCCCGAAGGTGTCATGGTCCATTTAAATGAACAAAAAGAGAGTAAGATTGCTGAGGTGGCAGTTTTGGCATACAAGTATGTGCTTACACACAGAACTGTCTTTTTAACACTTTAAAAAAAGAGAAACTACTGTGTCTTTCATTTAAAGTACATTTTTATATTAGATTAAGTGAAAAATGATGGTTTCTGGTTTTAAACTTTTATTTATTTTGACTGAAAGCAAAGAAGCTAACTCCCTAGGTACAGTTAAAAACATTAGTCTTTCTCAGAGTAATAATTTTACTTCAAACCAGGCACATGAAAAAAGGTACTATTCATGTGCTACTCAATTTTTTGTGTATTTCTAATGCTTGTTTGATTACAGTATAGTTTAAAAGCTTAATAAAGTTTTTTTTTAAGTCTGTTTCTGTGAATTTAACTGCATTACAGAGAGAGTGGTAAAGGAAACATGACTGTTTTTCTTGAGAGGAATGATGACGTGATGTTGTGTGTTCTTGTATTTTGAAACTGTTTTACTGAATAGGTGTGTTGACTTGGCCAGGTCTCTGAAACTTCCTGGTTAAATAACAGAAAATAAAATACAAAATACAAATTACCATCTTGTGTGACCTTTACAGAAATACCAAAAACACAAGCAGATAGTTTAGCTCATAATTCATTCATTTTCTTTTCGGCTTAGTACCTTTTTTTAATCAGGGGTCGCGACAGCAGAATGAACCGCCATCTTATCGAGCATATGTTTTATGCATCTGTGGGGAAAAACGGAGCACCCGGAGAAAACCCATGCGAGCACGGGGAGAACATGCAAACTCCACACAGAAATTCCAACTGACCTAGCCGGGGCTCAAACCATTTATTATAGTCAAACCAACTATTATAGTTTAGTCTAAAGCACAAATTTGCTTTAAAGTCAAATCAAAGTAATTCAATTAATTCATGGTCTATACAACAATTTTTACCTTCGAGTCAATGTATTTTTATTTTTTCCTGAGCAGAATTATTAAGTTGATTAATCTTAAAACTAGGGGTGTAACAGATCACAGGTGATCCGTTACTCATACGGATGACAACCCACTATTCGGAACACACATGACCAGCGGATTAAATTATTTTTTTACTCATATAATAATCACAAGTTTGTAACGATTACAGAGATTGCCTCTCGTTTTTAAAGGTGTTTTGTGTCATTACTTGTTTAGCCTGCATTAATGCATTCAGTGTAAGCTGCATGATTAATCATTAAAAGATCAGGATCTCACAAACATTGCAAAATAAATTATAAATGTTTTGCAAATGTTTATTAATACTTCAAATCGCTGCATGTGATGTGAAAAACGCAAAGATCAAGAAAGAGATTCAGGGTTTAGTCTTTTGAGTTGGTACAGTCAAATAACATAGAAGTACAGGAAAAACTTTAGGGTTTTATTTATAATAAAATTACAGATTCTAAGTTCTGTTTGTTGAAACCAAAAGTGTCTTGCAGTGCTGTTTTTGTAATAAATGGAAAGCAAATTACATTTGTCTCCTGCTCTTTTTGGCTAATTTGAAAAATGGTCCGATCCGTGACTTAAAAACAATGATGTGATCCCGAACTGTGAGATTTGTAATCCGTTACACCACTTCTTAAAACACATTTTTTCAATTTTAATCAAGCCAAAACTCTAATCAGAGGGTACATTTAGCTGTAACGGGTTACAGTATTTTTTAACTGTTCCAAATCAATATTATACATCAATCTAAAGTTAAAAAAGATAGTTTTCCACTTTATTTACTTTTCTACTTTATTTAATAGTAACACTTTATTTTGATGGTTCATTTGAGTATTAGTTGACTGTCTGATTAATATCTGTTGATATTGCTCCTTCAACAGACATTTAATTGACTATAAAAATCTTAGCAAGTACATGTCAACTTAACCCTAACCCAGCCTAACTGTCTACTTATAATCTAATGAGAATTAGCTGGCATGTAGATGCAATGTAACTTGTATTCAACAAACAGACCATCAAAATAAAGTTTGACCCTACTTTGTACTGAAGTAAAAATATATATATTCATGGCTCGTTTCCACTGACTGACTGGTACAGTATGGTGTGGTTCGGGTCGGTATGGGTCACCTTTATCAGGCTTGCGTTTCCACCACAAAGGGTACCCTTTTGGTGGGCGTGGTGTATGACAAAGTTAACCAGTCGACGTCATGCTCGCTCGAATAAATGTCTACAGTAAAGCTGTACGGGTTGTTTACATGTCATTACATAGCATTTCTCACAAGATGCTTTATACACATAAATACTTGTGTAGAAATTTTTATTACTAACTTTTCTATGAACATGATTTGATTATAACTGCAGATCAAAATAGCCAAACTGTGTACAAACATCTGTAATTATATAAAATAAATATTTAAATGCAACATATATGAACACATACAGCCCCTTACAGTCTCTGATGTATTATTAATTACAAAAAAACTACACACAGCATACATTTAGTACTAATTTGAGTTAAAAAAACACACGTAATTTAGCCCACAGTCAGCGCAAACCATTCATCTGTGTCTATAATCTTCACCAGCACATGTAAGCTCTGTCAGAGAGTAATTTTGTCATTCTCAGTTCATAACAGTCCAAAAGGCAAATATAAACATGGCAGTTTGTTCATGATTCAGGTTGCTAAAACAATTTTGCTCCTGTGTTTTGTCGGGCTTCTCCTTTTTTTTTCGCGCTTCACTCTGAATAGATCAGATGACGGAGACACTTCAATAATCATGCACACGTTATTATCATCATCTTAAGAAGTTCATTACATCAAATGTTACGTTAGACGCGAAAAAACATGGCGGTTCCTTTGTTTTCATTCTGTCTAGCTCCACGAGCTTGTGACGTATCTCTGTAACCAATCAGCGTTTAGCTGCACGTGCCGCTCCACCTTTTGGTACCCTTTCTCCTGTTTGGTATCCTTTAGAAAGGGTGCCTAAAAAGTGTTAAGGTACGGTTTTTGACAGTGGAAACGGCCATTAAAGTGTGCCAAACCAAACCGTACTGTACTGTACCACTCAGTGGAAATGAGCCATTAGTGTCTTGTTATTATTAAACAATATTTTTACTTGGTGTGAATGTTTTTTTTTTTTCTAAACTACAATAAATAGTTTTGATTTAGATCAAATTTAGTTTGAACCAAAGTCAATTAAGTATACATTGAGAAATAAGTTTTTAAAATTCTAGGTTAGAATGATATTACAGCTTCATATCACACTACTCCACATTAAAATTTAAACTGTTAGCAAAATCTGATGGGTAGCATACTGCATTATTAAAATGTGCTACCTACTTTTTAAATGAGAGGTGGGACAAATCCACAGAACACAAGGCTGGGTCAGATGGCATTCCTGCGTGAAGTTTGCATGTTCTCCACATGTTGGCATGGGTTTCCTCCAGGTGATTCCGGTTTCCCCACAGTCCAAACACATGTGCTATAGGTGAATTGATTTACTAAACTAGCCATAATGTATGTTTGTGAATGTGTAAGTATATGGGGGTTTCCCATTACTGAGTTGCAGCTGGAAGGGCATCAGCTGTATAAAACATCTGGAATAATTGGCGGTTCATTCTGCTGTGGTGACCCATGATGAATAAAGGGACTAAGCCAAAGAAAAATGAATATATGAAAGTGCTTTTGCTGCTATCAGTAAAGTTATACTATAGCTTTATTATGACTATAGCTTTTTCCAGATCACATACTTAGTTATTTACGAATTTGCAGACTATTTATATTCACAAATAGATATTTCACACATTGCATGCAAAGTAATATTTTTATAAAGGTGTAATGGGGCTCTCTAATGGCCCGTTTCCACTGAGTGGTACGGTACGGCTTGTTGTGCTTTTATGGCCGTTTCCACTGTCAAAAAGCGTACCAAACCAAACCGTACCATACCACTTTTTCGGCATCTTTCGAAAGGATACCAAACAGGAGAAAGGGTACCAAAAGGTGGAGCTACACGTGCAGCTGAACGCTGATTGGTTACAGGGATACGTCACAAGCATGTGGAGCAAGACAGAATGAAAACAAAGGAACTACCATATTTTTTTAAATACAAAACCGAGACATTACATGAAAATACTATATGCATATAATATTGAGCCATGGATGACCAGGGTTCAAACAAACCTTGTCATCGTCTTGATGAACAGACACAAAGCCAAGAAGAAAAATCTGCTGTGTCCTGAGCTCGTCTAAAAGTGTGAGCGGTTTTCGCTTTCCTCCAGAAGCTCACGATCGTGTCTAACGTTATATTTGACAAACTTCTTGAGATGATGATAATAACGTGTGTGTGATTATGGAAGTGTCTCTGTCATCTGATCCATTCAGAAAGAAAAGGACAGGTGCGAAAGTGAAGCGCGGAAAAAAAGGAGAAGCCCGACAAAACACAGGAGCAAAATTGTTTTGGCAACCTGAATCATGAAAAACTGCCATGTTTATCTTTGCCTTCTGGACTGTTATGAACTGGGAATGACAAAATTACTCTCTAACAGAGCTTACATGTGCTGGTGAAGAATACAGACACAGATGAATGGTTTGCGCTGACTGTGGGCTATATTGCATGTGTTTTTGAACTCAAATAAGTGCTAAATGTATGATGTGTGTTGTTTTTCTGTAATTAATAATATATGGGAGACTGTAAGGGGTTGTTTGTGTATATATTTGTTGCATTTATATTACTATTTTATATAATTACAAACGTAAGGCTATTTTGCACTGTCATTGATCTTCAGTTTTAATCAAATCATATTCATAGAAAAGTAAGTAATAAACATATATAAACCAGTATTTGTGTATAAAGCATCTGTTTTGTGAGAAGTGCTTATCATATAATATGTAAACGACCCGTACAGCTTTACTGTAGACATTTATTCAAGCGAGCATGACGTCGACTTAAACTTTCTTTCGCACACCACACCCACCAAAAGGGTACCCTTTGTTGTGGAAACGCAAGCCTGATAAAGATGACCCGTACCGACCCAAACCGTACTGTAATGTACCACTCAGTGAAAACGAGTCATAAATCGCCTCGATGGATCACCCAATATCTGCTATTTGTGATCTAGTTCTTACCTCTGCATCCTCGCCGAAGAACCTGTATTTATACCCACACTCGACGCAAAGCACTGTGTCCACATGCTGCTTTTTTATCTCCATGTACTGTTCTTCTAGAGGAGTGTAAATGGTCTTGGTTCTCCTGTTGGAAACAGAAGGCTCTTCTAAACTTTTCCTGTTTCCAGTATTCTTAGCGTACTGACTAAAGGAGAACTCCTGTAAACAGAAAGAGGAAAAAACATCACGTTTAAATAGACATTGTGGCAAAGAGCAATTAATTGCATTCACGCCAAGCAATTTTGTGTTTAACAGACATCTAATTGACATCTAAACAGACACTTTGACTAAAACAAGGCTAAATATGGACAGTACTAGGAAGTCTAATAGTAGTCCAAAATTAAGACATTTGTAGTCACATTTATTTCTCTTTATTTGATGACTGGTGATTTATTGACTGTTGATTTGACTAGGTTTCTATAAAGAAAAAAGAACAATTCTAGCTGGGTTAGGGTCACCCAACATTTTCTGCAGTACAAATACTAAAAGTATTTTTCCCATAGTGTCATTAAAATATCTTAAAGAATCATTAGCCATGAAATGACCCAACCAGATTCAAGATCAAGTATTTAATGCTGTGGTCTCAAACATAATTCCTGGAGGGCCAAAGCTCTGCATAGTTTAGCTCCAACTACCTCCAACTCACACCTGCTTAATGGTCTCTAGTATTATTGATCACCGTGATTAGCTGAGTCAGCTGTGTTTGATGAACGTTGAAGCAAAACTGTGCAGAGCAGCGGCCCTTCAGGAATCCAGTTTGAAACCTATGATTTAATGAGGGATAGAACTACAATCCCATAATGCAGTCTGAATTACACAATCTAATTCAAATCAATGGATAAACATGAAACTTTTCATCTCAAGTTGCTTCATTTGCAGTGCTTTATAAGAGTGGGTGAAGCTAAATATCTATTTTTTCTGCACAGCAGCATGGATAATCTAGTATGTCTTTACAATTTAAGTTTATTAAATATGAAGGTTTTTTTTTTTAAATATGTAGGGTTCAACAAAGACTGAATTTACAGGTTTCTCAGCTATTTTACAAAACCACTTTCTCTATGGAGAAAATAAATTTTTACTTTCGGCGATGAATATTTAGATTTCCAAAAGTCAAATAAATGTTGTTAAATTATCAGAATGACCATATTTTATTCATAACTATTCTTTCTTTTTTCATTCATTCATTCATGGAGTGATTAAATTAAATTAAATTAAATTAACAACACAGCAATAACGTCAAATGTAGCACATTGGTTTTACAGCTTATTACATTTGAAACAATCCAACATCTTTTTGCCACTCATGCACACATGTAAAAATAAATACAGGTCACGACTGAACAAGTGGTCTCCAAAATGTTTCTAAAAAAGGACTTGCTGTGATCCAAACATAGAGCCCACCTATCTCATTAAATAAGGTAAATGTTAAAATCAAACATTGAATAAATGAATCCGATGTTTTCATCCACCCTGTGGTGATTTTGAGCCTTAATTCGTCCAAAATTTTCTCTATGTTTAAACAAATAAAATGATTGTTGGTGACAAATCTTATTTTGGCTCATATTTTGAGAAAATGCTTTAAAACATTTAGCAAAAACTCAACAATACACAGTGGGCAACAAGGGCGTAGGTTTGCTTTTGACATTGGTGTGGACCTATGAACCACCAATTTTGACTAGTTAAAAGAAAGGTTCGGCCAATCACAATGTTCATTACAGTTTTTGTTGGCAAAACGACCCGAATAGAGAATATGATTTAATTCTATCTCCACGTTAATGTTGACAGTGCTATTTTTGTAAGTGAATTAAATTATTGGTGAGGATATTCTTTAGTCGTTGGATATTGGTGGGGACATGTCCCCTTCTTCTATGCTAAATCTACACCCCTGCTGGGCAAACTGGCTCCCCTTTTGTTATGTTTGTGGCTGTTTTTGCCTCATTGACTTCCATTATAATGACATTTTTTGATTGCAAAGCTATGACACCATATACTCATGCATTCTTGATAGCTGGTGGTTTTCTCTGTTGGAAAAATGTGTAATCTTTCTGTTGTTATTGTTGGCATTGTTTTTTTTGGCGGTCATGTGCTGAAAACTTTGGAAACCACTGGTGTAGATGAATCAAGCAGTTTTTCATCTACAATCAAATAAAAGGATGTTTCAAACAAAAAAGATACTTTCTGAAACTAATATATCAGTTTTAAAAATCAAACCTGTTTAACCTTAATGGGCTCTTCTTTGAACTCTTCAACCATTTCGTTATGCATAATAACATTATGTTGCTGTGAGGCAGAAATTTCAGCTTTTCCCGAATGTGAAGGCTCCAACTCCATCACTGAATCTGAGCTCCCTGGGCAGCTGAAGTCTTTAAGTCTGGTCAGGGTGGCATGGCTGATACTGACTTTAGAGGACACCGTCTTACCTACTGCACATAAAAGGGAAAGTAAAGCTTTCAGTACATCTTATGATAATCATGTAATGTACTTGTGTTTTTTATGCATTATGCATAAAACATGTCATGGCACAACATACTTGACAATATTGCTAATAGTTTAACAAATATGCAATATTACATGGCACATCAAATATGGTCCATTCTCAAGGTCAAAGAAATACGCTTTCATGCTTAGTAATAATAATGACGTCAAAATAAAACACATTGTTTAATTTAAAAAGCTCTATATAAAACCTTTTAAAAATTTCAGTCAGAACATAGTGCAACTGTATGCAACTACTATACATGTATTATTCAGAATAATTCTGATAAGTTAGTTAATTAAAATGCAGAATATTTCTAATCGAGTTTCACCATTGCCCTGTTAAATTTAATTGCTCTGAGAGATCAGTATTGCGTGAATCTAGGGCTGGGCCAATAAACAATATTGTATTAAATTGCGATAAATTTTATTTCAATAACAATGATAAGCTCTGGTCATTTTTACTCGATATTGATCTAAGAGCTAATCACAGAGCAGCAGTATGCAATAACAAATAACCAATTAGTATGAAGTCAAAGGACCATTTCCTACCGCACTTTGCTAACAAACTCGACAAGACAACAAAAAGAAGGAAATTATAAGCGGAAGCCTTGACGAAAGTTAACTAACCTTGAGCTATTATCCAAATATGATGAAATTATTGACAAAAACAAGGCAGCACAAATTTGGTTAGATGGAAGTGGTTTAAGGAACAGATTTAAACGATCTGTAATGTCAATGGTTTGTGAAAAAAAAACAAATCTGGCAACACAACCAGCATATTCAATCACAAAAAAAAAAAATCACACCCAAAAAAAAAAAAAAAAAAAAACTTGTTTAACAATTTGTGTGGACTTGCTGAAGAGAGAGAGAGAGAGAGAGAATTCGGAGTTTTTTGCCATTTCAGCTTCTTTAGCTATGTCATGGCAAAAATAAATAAATAAATAAACAAAAGAAAAAAAAACAGATCAAGTTTACCACATTTTATAAATACCACTTTTCTATAGTTATATTTAACAATAAGAAGTCACCAACAGCAATAAATAATATACAACGTAAATACATAAATATTAATAATATTAATAATGATAATATATAAGATAAAAATCTAAAACAGTTTTTAAGGTTTACTTTTGATAAAAAAAAATGTAAAATTTTAGAATATTTTTCACATTAAAAATATTTCATTTAAAGTCTATGCAGATAAAAATTGTTGTCTGATAACATTAAAAATAGGGCATTCCACAATAATATGTTTAACGGTATGGTTTGTGGACTTGCTGGATGTTGTACTGTATATTTTTAATTGTTTGTTTTACACATTTAATTTACCCCCTAATGCCAGATTAGGCTTTTTAAATGTATTTCCTAATAAACAATATTTTAAATTGTAATTTATTGAACCACCTCATTTTTGTTGCATCAGTCATTGTTGGAGATATATCTTTTGAAGCTGAAAGCATAACAACTTATTGTTAACGAAGTTTATTGTTATTGTTCAATATGGAAAAAGACGACTGAGTTTGCATTTTTTCCATATCGCCCAGCCCTACGTGTATCACACTGCTACAATCCTAACTAGTTTTTTTTTTTTTTTAATGTTTCAACTTTACTGTTTAGTTGAAAATGTTTATGAATTTATATCTGGTTTCACTCATTTTGGAAAGGTACATTACATTTAATAATTTAGCAAACACTATGCTATGTCTCGACTAACCAGTTTTCCTTTGAAATACGTAATATTTGTGTATAGTGAGGAGTCCAATTTTGCTGCATGTAACAGTGTTGTGACAAAAAAGGCTCTTTATCATATTAGAGATGTATCAAATTTTAACTCATTTTCATTTTGTCTTAACAAGAGACTGATATAAAGAAGCTTTATTTTTATGATTTGTGTTGTTGTGTCAGACTGCATACCTAGCATAGTAGGCTGTCTTATATGGTGAATAGGATACACACATAGTATACATATGTATATGCAAAATTGGGAATTACCACCACAAAATCTGTCATTTTTATCGCAAAAAAAAATCACAAACCGTGAAAAACTAGGGGGTCTGCTTAATACAATATGCTTTGGCGATCCCTGATAAAGAACTACAACAACACGAAAACCTCTAAAATGAACATTAGATGTAGTGTTACATGGACATCGGAAAAATAAGACCTGTGCAAAATATTTAAGACCTAGAAGAGCGAATTTAAGACTTTTTAAGGCCTTAAATTTCGATTTTTAAATTTGAGACTTTTTAAGACCCTGCGGAAACCCTCAAAATGAATGAATAAACTCACATATGTAGTTATACTAAGTCTTCTGAGATCTGCATAAATAAGCTGCTTTAAAATAAACAGTGCAATGGAAATTCACAAACAAACCATCTGAAAACAACAAAAAAGCGAACGAAAGGAATGAGTTGTGCTGTATGAAGCATTTTCATTTTGCACCAAAGTTTCCACTTACAGTATGTCATGAGTATGTGAATTGTAATACATTGCTATTTTGCATATTAAATTTGAATGAATATTGCTACACATACGCTTCTATAGTGTAGCATGTGTGTGCTTACAGGTGCTGGGGGTCACTGTGAGCTCCTCATCCCTCTCCTGCTCCACGCTGACCGAGAGTTTGGCTCGTTTATCTGTGGATGCTCCTCCATCAGACAACCTCTTCTAAAACAGAACAGGTTTACATTTCAGAAGGTGCCTGTTTTGAAACAGCCAGAGCTTCAGCATGAGATGAATATAGTGTTTTTGACTTAAACTGTTGGTACAGTATGACTCTGAACTGAAGCACTAGAGGTGTTCAAGGGCTAGTTCAACCCAGAAAATTTACATTCTGTTATCATTTACTCAATCTTTACTTGGGACATTTAACCAGAAACTTATATTTTTTAAAAATGTGTCTTCCTCAAAAAAAACAATCATAAAATTTAATGATAGAGTGCATCATTGATTTTTTTTTTGTGTGTGTGTTTTAAAAATACAAACATATTAATCATAACAATGGGATGACATCAAGTACAATAGTAAATCAGTTTATTATTAATTTTTAATAATAAAATAAAATAAATAAAAATAAAAAAAACAGTACAGAGGCAAATGATCAAATTAAACAATATTTACAAAGTCCTTATAAAATTTCACAGTTTTAACACTTTTTTTGCTATAAACATTTTGTAAATTAAGTAAATAATTAAATTAATTAAATAATTTAAGTCACAAATTCAGTAATTTAGGTAATGATGAAGAAAATTTACATTTGTAAACATAATATTTGCCCAATAAAATAAATATATTGCCTATAAATTCTATGTTATGTTTGTAATGAGAAAAAAACAAATTACATCACATATGGAAAAATCAATGTTTAACTTAAATTTTGATGAAAAATAGATGGATAAATCAGACCAAAACAAATTAGCATGTGGGCATTTGACAAAAAGATGATCAATTGATTCAATGCTTGAGTAACACACAATTTGAGTCAGGATTACCGAATTTAGAAACAATCTCATTCGTGGGGAAGATATTGTGAAACACTTTTAAATGTAATTCTTTAACTTTGTTGGGAACACACAATTTGTTAGGTAGGAGCCAAGCCTTTTTCCAATTAATTTTATCTATTAAAGAATTCCAAAGATATTTTCCCCTTGGAGTAATTCTTTTCTTTGACTGAAACACGTTTCTTATATTTTTATTATTACATTTTAGGTCAAAAATGCATTTGTCTTCAACTAAAAATTTTGGTTCATTTTTAACAATTACTTCAAATGACGTGGCATTTCATTAAATGAGCAAGGCCATTAGGTAAGGCTTTAATCACAGTATAGAATTCATTATGAATAACAGGGAAATTATATTTAACCATAAAATCACCATATGAATAAAAGTTCCCTTGTAAATCAAATCAATCACAAACATAAAATCTTTTTCATGTCAATTCTTATTAAAAACGATTTATTCTTTACTAAGATGCTTTCGTTGTAGAACGCATCCTTGATCACTGTCAGCTTCTCCATTAAATGATGTCACTTCCTTTGAGTCATAGCCTTGTGTATTACACACGTTTTATGTTAAATTTAATGCAAATGTGACAGGACTGACTGAAACATGGGGACAATCGTAAATTTACTTGTATTATATATTAGTAGTATTTATTTGTAGAATTTATTTATACAATTAAATAAATTATATATTATTTTCTAAATAAACAGTTTTTAGCATAACAAAATTATGAACCAAGCGGATCTGATTCAGACATTAGCAGATCAAGTAGTCTAGATTCAGAAGCTGCACAGCCAAACATAAACTCTGGTCAAAAAAATGCAACCAGCCAGGGTAACAAAACTTTTTCTTGGAGAAAGAAACATTTTAACACCCCTGAGTGAATGTGAGTGCACATTCAGAGAGTCAAGTTCCAACCCTCCAGACAACCTTCACACAACCCTGGAGTATTTCAGAAAATTCATAACAGCAGAGATGTTCGAGTTACTGAAGGAACAAGCACATTTGTACAGTGCGCAACTATCTGGAACACAAAAGAATGTAAATACCACTGTTGAACTAGAAATTTTGATTGGAACCGACAAATTATTCAGCATATGTTTTACACAGCAGATGCCCTTTTAACTGCAACCCAGTACTGGGAAACACCCATACACTCTTGCATTTCCACATACACACACTATAGGGCTAATTTAGTTAATCAATTCCCCAGTATTGCATGTGTTTGGACAGTGGGGGAAACCAGAGGACCCAGGAAACCCACGGCAAAACGGGGAGAACATGCAAACTTCAAACAGGCACGCCAACTGACCCAGCCAGGGCTCGAACCAGCAACCTTCTTGCTGTGAGGGGACAGTGCTACCCACTACGCCATTGTGTCGCTTGGAGGAAGTTATTTATTTTTATTTAGTGCACTCATTTTCGGATAGTGTATAAAATACACTAACAACTATACCAAAAAAAAAAAAACAAGGTAGAATTTTAATGTTTCAAAAGAGTTGTAAAATATAATGGTCACAGTCATGGAGCTTTGAAATATGTTATGGAAAAGCAAATAAACAAAAACAAATTTTATGTAGCAAATAAAACTAACAAATGTATTTTTTTAATTGTGAAAAACTGCCCAATGTGACATGTAGATGTAAAATTTATTATAAACACCCAATGTCACATATGTAACATTACAGATTTTTCAGGAAGAGGGGTTGCATTTCAAAACCAACTGCAGAAACATGTTATAAGTGGTCCATTTGGTTTGTATTATATGTCTCACAATTTTCCTATAACCTTCAAGGGCAGGGGTGTCGAATCCCGTTCCAGGGGGGTCACAACTCTGCACCGTTTAGTTCCAACCCTGCTCCAACACACCTACCAGTAGGTTTCAAACAAGGCTGAAGGACTCAATTACTTTGATCAGGTGTGTTTAATTAGGGTTAAAGCTAAACTGTGCAGGCCTACGGCCCTCCAGGAACTTGATTTGACACCTGTGTCCTAGGGCCTGAGTGTCCACATACGTGGACAGTAGGCTTGCCAAGATAGACGGTGTTGACGGTGATACCGGTTTTAAGACACAACACCGGTGACATCACTTTTCCACCGTGACACCGTCCCCACATTTGTTTTTTCTAAGTATTCGTTTTTTTTTTATTAAATATTTATTTGAATTAAATGGAAAATAGAAATCATAATAATTTACTCAAGACCAGAGCATGCACTATAATTAAAATCTGAACATAATGCGTCATATTTCATTTATCTCGTGAGAATAAATATGCAAGGCATACTCTCATATTAAAAATCACGCAACCACCATCTCACAATGTTTAATAATAAATATCTTATTTTTATTGAAACAAGAATGTAGCAATGCCGCGCCATTGACAAGCCAACTGCAGAGAAACAAAGCAACCATCACGGCAACTGAAGTGAGCACTTTTTCCGAATTCAGCTCTTCTTTTTTGCACTTTATGCGTTTCATGTATAAAAAAATAAAAGATGAATACGCCTACAAGAGTGTAACCTGTGTGTGCGCGCGTCTTTTATCAGCGAGGCCGCTCTCTTTAAAAAACGAAAGTTGCTTCGTCTGTCTAGTAAACTGACACGCGTGTGGTGATTTTTTGCTCTGACGAGGAGCTTTTTTTTAGCCTGTAGTCTTAAGATTTTTTACATAATGTTTAATTTCTTAACATTTCTTTTTTTCATTTATAGTTTATATATAAAATGAGTGCTAGCTTGTTTAGTTGTGATCCAAAAAGTTTCATTGCGTGTGCGCAACGAGCTGCTCATCTGAGAGTGTGTTCAGCACGATGGGAACATAATGAGCCCCACAAGATCCCATCTTAAGCCAGAGATGGTCAACATATTGGCCAGGATTCCTGGCAAAGAACATGTAAACCTCACTGTTAATAAATGCTAATTTACAGTGTTTTATTTATCTATTTTTTTAAAGACTGTGTCGACCTGTCATTTATGTAATGTAATTTTGAAAGTTTTTCTTTTATATTTGTTTCTTGTTCATTTGTTTAATCTTAATTAAACTCTGAGCATTTAAATTATTTATCTTTCTATTGTATTTTCTTATTCGTTTTAAAAACATTCTAACATTCATCACATTCGTCCATTCAAACAATTGACGCCGAATTGGCAACTCCCGCAAAACTGAAAGTGAAAGTATTATATGCACGCATTTATAAGCTATTTAAAAGCAGAAAGAACAGAGGAAACCCCCACGGTGATACCGGTATTACTGGTGTTGTCACATGTCGATTAACCGGTGGTGAAATTTCCTCATCGTCACAACCCTAGACTGGACAGCACATTTTTAAAATACTTTGAATGTTTTATATTTTGTTACAGACAGTATCATCCTGCAGCATTTGAAATGTTCCAAACCCTATTTTTAAAAATTTGTTTTTACTCTCTGATAGTCAAAGCAAGTTCAAAAAATGTTAAATATGCACAAAAAAATCCTGGGGAAAAAGTTTTTATGTAAATTTGGACCACGAGTCCACATATATGAACATCATTTTTCCATAAAAGTACATTATATCAAAAGATGATACTTAGATTTTTATTCTAATTAGGTCCCAATAAGCCCAAATAGCAAAGAGAAATAAAAAATGCATGTAAAAAACACCTTGGGCCTTAAGAAAGGACAAATCGGTCTGGGTTCTTATGGGTTAAAGCAGTGGTCCCCAAACTTGTTCCTGGAGGGCCGGTGTGCAGCAGGTTTTAGCTCCAACCCTATTCAAACACACCTGAACAAGCTAATCAAGGTCTTACTAGGTATACTTGAAACATCCAGGCAGGTGTGTTGAGGCAAGATGGAGCTAAACCCTGCAGGGACACTGGCCCTCCCGGACCAGGATTGGTGACCCCTGGGTTAAAGGTTAAATTGGGCTGAGGACAAGTACAATGACAAGGTTTGTACATTTTAAAGAAAAAAAAATCTAAGAACCGACATTCATTTACAGAACCACTCACATGAATCAACCATCAGTCCATTTTAGACATTTTTTGGGATTAAAAAAAAATGTATTCACTGTATTTATGTCTTTATTTCAGGGACAGATAATGTACGTTTCTGGTAGAATGCCCCACTAAGGACTCATTTCGTTAAACAATCTTTTCAACATGTTGTGAACAAGGCGGGAAACCTGTAACCTTTGTTGACTAACTTACAATAGTATTTGTTATTGTAACTTTGGAAGTCAAGAGTTACAGGTATTCAGCATTCAAGAAACTAAAAATGTTTGGAACCACTTGAGGTGAGTGAATACTGTCAATCTTATTTTTTTGTGGTGAACTACAGTATCCCTTGCAGTCTATATCTCCACATAAATAAGCTGTCTGTGTCTATTACTGCTCTCTTTGTCTCTCTCTCTATCTCTCTCTCTTACCTTCCCTCTGCCCTCATGGCGTCGGTCTTGACAGTTAATCTGCTCAGTTGGTTGAGCCCGATCGCTTGCATTAGTGAAGAACCTGCTGATAGTTGTCTGAGTGCTGGATTTCTTGGAGGATTTGGAGGCAGACACGCGTCTGACAGCTGTGTGCATTTTACTACATTAACGATATCAGATCTTTACCGTTTGGTCTGCAACAGGAGCTTGTTTGAAAACCGGCCAAAACTCTTATGATTAAAAATAGTCTCCAAGAGAGACTACAGCTTTGCTGCAGCTGATCGGGTTGGCGCGTTGATGACGTATGCACTGTGTTGCACACGCGGATTCTCAAATGTACTGCAGATGGTGAAAGATGCGCTACATTTTACGCAGTCACTGCTGTAGTATATAGGTATACACACTAAATATCGCAAACGGACCCTGACCATGCGTCAATAGCGCCGCCACATTTGTACAGTGCTCCCAGGACACTAGTCATTTAATCAAACTCAAGACAGTGTGCCAATGTGAAGATGCTAGACTTCAATGCTGTGGGTGTAGTATATATAGCATAAAGGGGCTAATAATTTTGACCTTAAAATTGTGTTTTAATCAAACTAAAAACTGCTTATATTATAGCCAAAATAAAACAAATAAGATTTTCTCCAGAAGAAAAAAAGCACGATCTTCGATGCTTCCCCTTTCTTTATTTTGTTCTTTTTTTTCTTTCTATTTCTTATTTTTACTTATTGTACTTAACACTTTTAACTGTATTCCAGTTGTAATTGTGTTTTGCTCCTTTATTTCTGACAGTCTTGCTCAGTCTGATTGATAACTGAACAAGACACTCAGAAATAAAGGTACAAAAGCTGTCACTGTCACTTTTGTACAGGTAAGGCTTAGTACCTTTAGGGTATACTTCTGTACCTTTAAGTTACTGTGAGGTATGCACTTGTATTTTTTAAATATTAAATGGGACCTTTAAGGACCTGTTATGAACAAAAATGTAAGTTTTGAAAATGTACCACGCCAGTGACACAATTTGTAGCTTTATTTCTGACAGTGTGTGCACCAATGACTGTAAAAAATATGGACGACGCGACAGCCCTTTTTCCCATTGAACGCCTTGAGGGCAAAACGCCTGCTTGACGGGCACAAACTGTCGCAAAAGACTGCTGAAATTGGAGCCAGACATGCGCAGAAGGACTGTCTGATGGAGCCAGAGGAGGAGCCGCGAAAATGAGCAGAGTCGAGCTTCCAATCAAACGCTTTATGTAAAATCAACTACGCCCCCCGAACTTCTCAGCATGCGTTTGCTGTCATATCAACACAAATGGATGTAATAACGTTAACAAATATGAGGGTTTTATATATTCAATCGCGCCAGCTCCAGGCCGCAGCGCACAACTTACTCGCGGCGTCGCGGGCTGATTCCGGCTCGCATGCGGCAGCGCCTGCTCGCTCGGCCGCCGCATCTGGCTCGATTGACTAGGACTGGAATCGGGCAGTGAGTCCAGGCATCCGGAGTAGGTCCAGCAGAGGTAACATTAGTCAGTCTGAGCTCTAAGAGATAAGTCTCCGGCAGGCGAGAATCTAGCCGGAACTGTGTTTTGCTATCTGGGTGGCTAGGCGTGTATCAGCAAACTAATAAAGCCCGAAAAAAGCCCTGAACTTAGCGAATAAACAGTGTTCCACCAGGATCATGTATGTCAGAAACTATAGTTTACTGCTGAACTAATTTTGTCATGGTAAAATAACACAGAAATCGAATAATAACATTTCAGTCTACTTCAGTCTCCTGCCGAAGCTCAGACGCCGCGCTTTGAGAAACTGTCAATCACAGCTGTAAATCACGATGACACGCCCAGCATTAAATTACTGCTAAAAACAAACTGTTTACAAAAATGAAGATCTGCACCTATTTCAGCACAATAACCAGTGCCTTAATCGACCAGAACTATCTTTCGGGACATTTTATTGCAAGTGTAATATTTTTTTTTATTTGGGCTCAAGTCTCCTTCATTAACACGGAGGAGGCGGGCTTTATGACTTGTACTGCAGCCAGCCCCCAGGGGGCGATCTAACGGCCGAAACCTTCACTCAAACGTAGGCTTGCGGCACACTTGGTGTGCACACATTAACCAACTGCATGGAAACCATAACAAGTCCCCTTATTTGACATTCCTGTATTTTGCAATTGCATTCAGTGCGCTTTTGAGAGATTTTTGTCCCATAAAGCAAAAGTTAAATAGGTAACAAGTACTTCTCGAATTTCCTTGGCTGTATCTGAAATCTGGTTAGATATTAAAATCCCTTAACCATTGTTGAGTATTTATGAAGGCAATAATTTAGCAGCACCTGCAGGAGTCAAATTTCACTGATGATAGGTGGACTATTGTAATGATAAATAATAATGCTAATATAATAACGTGTTCTACTGGCTTTATAAAAATCAATATACAGGTATACATATACAATTGAAGTCAGAGTTATAAGCCCCCCTGTATATTTTTTTCCTCAATCTCTAACAGAGAGATTTTTTTAACACAAGTTGTTAAACATAAGTTTTAATAACCAATTTCTAATAACTGAAATACTTTCTTTTAATGACAGTACATATTATTTTACTGCAGATTTTTCTAGAAAGTATTGCGTATTAAGATTTGACTAAATACTACTAGTAGTGCAGCTTAAAGTGTAACTTAAAGGCTTAACTAGGCAGGTTTGGGTAAGTAGGCAAATCATTGTATAATATTTGTTTTGTAAACTCACAAAAAAAAATGCTGAAGGGAGTTAATAATATTGACCTTAAAATGTTTTTTTTTATATTATCATTATTAATATGCTTTTATTCTAGCTGAAATAAAACAAATACGACTTTCTCCAGAAGAAAAAAATATTATCAGACATGCTGTGAAAATGTCCTTGCTCTGTTAAACATCATTTCGAAAATATAAAAAAAAATAATAATAAATTCACAGGAGATGTAATAATTTTTACTTTAACTCTTATATTTTGGGTGTTGAAATGAGGGAGCTTGTTATTTTTAACTAAATGTAACCGGTGCGTAAATAATGTCTTGCCCTTTGCTTGACCATCCGTGCTTTTTGTTATGCCTAAACAGTACACCATCGACTTCCTCAGGAGGAGAGCTGGCATCGGCTGGGAGAGGGACATGTTGGCGTGTCGGTGTGCTTTGGCAATATGAGTCCCAGTGGAAAGATGATGTGATCACAGCCCTGAAAGAGGAAATGTCAGCTGATCCAGATGTCACACACAGACTTTATTGCCTGAAGAGTGACTTCTTAAGAAGGATCAGATATAGCAACTAAGGAACATGTTTGTTAGTACTCGCTCTGCTTTGTCACATTACACTTAAAATGATTTACAGTTCACTGTAACAGATAAGGGTGACACGTTGAATATGACAAAAAAAAGTGATGAATAAAGGATCCACGCCGAAGGACAATGAATGAATGAATGTATGTGACGAATAAGGGGATTGTAGATATATAGCTTACCTGGGTCATCAGTATCCTTGGTGTATGATGGTTTTTATCAGCCTTCTGCACCAATTTCTTTATTTATCACATTTATATATAAGGGCTGCACGGTGGCGCAGTGGGTGGCATGTTCGCCTCACAGCAAGAAGGTTGCTGGTTCGAGCCTCAGCTGGGTCAGTTGGCTTTCTTTGTGGAGTTTGCATGTTCTCCCTGTGTTCGCATGGGTTTCCTCCGGGTGTTCCGGTTTCCAAAACATGTGGTACAGGTGAACTGGGAATGGTAAAATTGACCATAGTGTATGAGTGTGTGTGAATGTATGTATGGTTGTTTCCCAGAGATGGGTTGCGGCTGGAAGGGCATTCGCTGTGTAAAAAAATATGCTGGATAAGTTGCCGGTTCATTCTGCTGTGGCAACCCCAGATTAATAAAGGGACTAAGCCGAACATGAATGAATTTATATATCATATTTATGCAGTATTCCAAGACATTTTGTAGTATAAATTATGGAAGTTACATTGACACTGAAAAGTCTAAAATGAGCACCTTTTAAAAGGACACTCTAATCCTTTAGAAATAGACTCATTTTACAAGTCACCTATAGAGTTAAATAGTTGAGTTTTTTTCATTTTAGAATCAATTTTAGCCAATATCCAGATTTAAATGAGCACTTTTAGCTTAAATTAGCATTTATCATTAAATCAGATATGACCATTTGCATCTCACTTAAAAGTGAAGAGAGAGTGTTGTTAATTTTTCTCATTTAAAGCTTCTCTGTAATTACTAAAAGTGATGGAAAAGAAAAACTTTATATTTTCTAGGCCAAAAGTGTAGTGTAGAAACTATATTCTCATTCCCCTGTAATAATTTGCTTCCATATCATGTCTGCAGCATGTCTGTTTATGCTGATTGTAACTGGTGGTGCCATATAAACTGCTTAAAACTTGGTGCAAATATAGGATTTGGTGCTGGGGACTAGTATATATGCAGAGCTAGTGTTTTTCAGCCAATGATAAACTTCCGGTGAAGGATTAATGTGACTATTTTCAATTTCATAAAGATTATAAAGTTTATTACTGCATTGATGTTATAATGTAATAACAGTACATTCTGTTAAATCGACTTAAGCATTTATTTAGTTGTTCAAGCGTGAAACGAGATGAAAGACAACCACTAGCACCGTCAGGATCAGCAGGTGCTAAAAAAACATTAAAAATACTGTGGTAAAATAAATGTCTGTATATTGAAGACATGGTGCAGATCATTGTAATTTATTGCAGTGCTGTTTAGTGTGGTCTGAGACCCACTTTATATCTATCAGGCAGTGAAGATCACTGATTTTTTTTTTTTTAAAAATCAGACCTTAAAAATGACAATTTTTGTAATGGAAAGACAGTTCACCAGAAGCCCTAAAGCAGGCTGGATGAAATTAAAAGTCATATTTTCAGGCACCATGTAATATCATTGTCCATTGTAAAGCAGCAAAGTTCCTTGATTTTTACTTTATAAATGTTTAACTCTCAGTAAGATTACTACAAAAACTGAAATAAATTAAAGCTAAATTAAATGTAGAATAAATTAAATGTATTACAAAATATTAAACATTAGTAAATATTATTATAATACACAAATGAAACTGAAACTAGTACCATCAAGACAACTTCGACTAGGCTAAATTTAGCACAACTGGTCATGAAAATAACAAGAAACACCAGAAATTTCAAAACTTTTCTTTTATTTGTCATGAAAAGACTTTTCAACAACTGGATTGAGAAAAGTTATACATTTTAGCTCTCAGACAGTGGGGGCCCTAAGTGAAACGTAGTAATGTTGTACATGTAGAAAGGACACAAAAAAAGATCCGTAAATGGTAACACAAAAGCACCAGACCTTCGAAATAGATTTCAGAACTTCTGTGACACGATAACCTTTTCAAAATATGGAAGAAAAAAAAATTTTAATTATGAGCTATCATATATTGCAGGTTTTCACCACACTTTCAGGGTTTAAAATGACACTGTTCCATCATATAAGCATTTCTAAACAGTACATCAAACATTTTAAAATACTGAAATCATACAGCACTTCCTACCTAACAGAGTTTACCCATGATGCCAAAACAAATCCCTCCTTAAAACAAGATATGCACATTAAATACCACAAATGAAACTGAAACCTGTCATCTGTTGAGGCAACAAAAATTATTTGAATTGCATAGAAGCTTGTTCTTTCTAGTCCTTGAAAACTAAAACTACACATCTCTTAAGACCAAAGAAAATGTATATTTTTCAAGACAACTGAGAATTTTAAATGCTAAATGTGTTCAAAATAACCCTGAAGCACATTTGAGGCCACTCGGACAATGAAGTGAACAGTGTACCGTTAGGTGAGGTCTTCTACAATGGTGTTAAAATTGCATGATTTCTCTAGGGATGCTTTCATGATTGGTTATATTTGGCCTCAAAATAAATAACACACAAGGATAGCACGTTCTTATTTAAAGAGCAGGATTTCAGATATATTCATAGAGTCTTCTGATAATGCGATCACTACGCTACTGTATTTGTATTGATAAAGTAGGCATTATATAGCAGATATTTGCCCGGTATGGCTAAGAAACCCCTGAGCACACACTTCACACCAACACGATTCAAATATTGAATGGAAAACACTCCACGCATGGCCAAAAAGACGACGACGAAGAAGAAAAAAGTATATTTCATTCTCTAATTCACGCAATTATCTATGAATCAAAAAATAGTGTTTGGTATGAGCGCTTTTGTGTTAGTGAAACATTAAAAAATCCAAATCATTAATTGAAATACAAACTAGAGTTTGACGAAAAAAGTAAATAAACATTTATTTTTAATAATCCAAGTACTTGTATTTAAAACAGATGCTCACCTAAAAAAGATCTTCACTGTAAATGATGTTTTTTGCATTTCACCCCAGATGGGGTTTTTTCCCAGATGAATGTGTAGTTTAAAATAAGAGAATAGAATCTGAATTATTGTACATAACGAATGCAGACGACTGATAAGTGCAAGGTTAAAAGTTGGATGACATAATGCATACCTGTCAGTAAACACAACAAATATTAGGAGACAAGCTTGTGTAGTAGAATAAATTCATTAAGGAAAACTCTTTATTTTAGTTAGCACAAACCATTCTTCAATGTGGAAACTGGTTTCTGCCACAGGATAAAAAAATGGAAGCAATTAGGGTTACTTTTTAAATAACACAATTTTTGTCTTGTGATTTAAACCAGTAAAATCTAAGTTTATATGTGACAAATCAGACTTTTTCTCAGAAATTTGAGAGTTGAAAGACAAAAACTTGAAACTTGTGAGACAAATTGTCACTATTTGTACATCTCTAGGTTTTTAAAATACAAACTAGCAATTGTTTTTCAAAAAAAAAAGTACAAATTAAATTTGCAATTGCAAGCAAGTCAGAATTCTTCATTTATAAATTCCAATATGTCCTGATTTTAAATAACCTTTTTTTAATTGTTTTAAATGTGTCCTGTAGGTCCACAGCCTATGGCATCTTCAGTCAGTTTAATTCCCAAGAAAGTCACGTACTAACAAAAATCTATGGGGGAAAAAAAATGTAAATAAACCAACAACCAAACAGATATTTGTGGAAATTAAGCTCTTTTTTTCTTTCATTAATTCATTTTTAATGATCAATTAGTACAACAATACACACTGCTAACAATAAAGATTTTAGTATATATTTCTTACAATTGTACATCTGCAGGCTTTTAAGATAGCAACTGTTGAAAAAAATACAAATCACACTTGCAATTACAGACAAGTCAGTCAGATTTCTTCATTTATATACTTAAATATGTCCTGATTTTAAATTTGTTTACTTGTATTGTTTTAAATAAGTCCTGCAGCCTAGTATCATCAGTCAGTTTAAATCCTAAGAACGACATGTACTAACAAAAATCTATAAAAAAAAAGTTTATAAACCAACAACCAATCGGAAATTTCCGGAAAAGTCATTTTTTCATTATTTAATTTCAAATGATTAATTAGTGAAACAATACCCACTGCTGACAATAAGAAACCTCCAAATTAAACCTGCAATTGCAAGAAAGTCAGAATTCTTCATTTATATCTCACTATTGCAGTTTTCATTTTTATTTATTTATTTATTGTGATTTTTGAAATAGCACGCTCTCACAATCCTGACTCATTCACAACACCAAACTTAAATTCAGAATTCTAGGCATTTAGTATAATATAGTAGAACTTTCAGTTCACAAATATAAGTTCATAACATGCTAATGTGAGATTTAATTCACAAATCTCAGAGGAAAAGTCTGAATTGTAAAATATAAACTGTTTTATAGAAATAATATAAATTGTATAAAATAATATAATGTAAATTTCAATTGTTTTCCATGGCAGAAACAAGTTTCTTGATTTCCCAGCCTGCTGTAAGTACAGCAATATAGAGGCAGCAGCTTGATCATAATAGTGGATAATAAAAAGGTACTGCAATACATCACTTGAAAACCCCTGATGCAGGGGCTAGTAAAGTAAGGTAACGATCCAGTACTCATTTACGTATATAACATTTTTGTTCTAAAAGGACAAAACAAAAACTGACTCGTGTCTATTTGGACAGATTCCACCTGAATAGTCTGTTTATAGATGAATAGAATGAGAGATATAAGAAACAAAGGGATCAGGTTAGATTTCATTATCTATCATATATCAGCGTACGCAAGGGGCTTCCGTCAGCTCCACATCACATATCTGTACCATGTTTGAATCATCTTTAAATGAATTGCAGAAAAACTGCTGGTGCTCGCTTTCCCCCAACATATGTTCAGTTCATGTGGGTGTAAGGAACATCTATTATATCACATAATTGTTTTTGAACCAATAATAAAACTAACTGAATATATGTTTACCTCCCAGTAGAAACATTCAGTTATGACAAATGTACTGTGTGAGCTGTCATATAATTTGGTTATAATTTGATCTTTGCGCACAAGTAACATACAAAATTCCTTTTTTTCTTTTTAGATGACTAATTGTACAGTTACACAGGGAAATGATATAAAATAAAGCATGTGCTTAACATAATTAAAAACAGATCTTCCTAAAACATAAAAAACTAAATAATGTAGTTAGCGATTTATCTTTATGTTACTGCTTTGTACAAGTCTTGAGTAAAGTTATAAATAGATATTTTCCTCTGTATATCATGATGTGAAAATGTCATCATAGTATTTTTACATTCATCATCTGTGACTTCCCACTTAAAACAATAATTAAGCCACAAACACACACACACACACACAAACTCACACAGTTCTCTTATAAACGATTTACATTTTCCCCTGCACTGTGGTTCCGGCTGCTCCAGCGATGAGGTGTGCTTATGTGCGGTTTAGTGTCTGGAAGATTCTGGAGATTTGGAGCATGACGGGACCCGTCTCAGGATCATTCATCCACTGTGTGCTGTTCAGCGGATTCTCCAGCATGTCCTCAAATGCTGAAAAGCCCCAAAAGTATAGATACAGTTAGGCCCATAAATATTGGGACACAATTCTAGCATTTTTAGCTCTATTCACCAACACAATGGATTTGAAACTAAACTAAGATGTGCTTTAACTGCAGACTGTCAGCTTTAAATTGAGTGTATTTACATCCAAATCAGATGAACACTGTAAGAATTACAACAGTTTGCAGATGTGCCTCCCACTTGTTAAGGGTCCAACAGTAATTGGATAATTGGCTAGTCAGCTGTTTTATGGCCAGATGTGTGTTATTCTCTCTCTATCCCAATTACAATGAGTAGATAAAAGGTCCAGAGTTCATTTCAAATGTACTATTTGTATCTAGATTCTGTTACTGTCAACTCTCAAGCAAGCCATAATTAGGCTGAAAAAACTAAACGAACCCATCAATAAGACAGCAAAAACATCAGGCGTGGCCAAAACAACTGTTTGGAACATTCTTGAAAAAACAACTATGGTGGAAGACCAAAGAACTATTTCCCTGTGCCGAAAACACTTTCTACTTAACAGTTGGCCAGATCTAGAACACTCTCCAGGAGGTAAGTGTATGTGTGTCAGAGTCAACAATCAAGAAAAACAGGAAGGCCGGATTAGAGTTCAATCTGCAGTTAAAGCATACAAGTTCATTTAATTTCAAATCCATTTTGTTGGTGTATAGAACCAAAAATGTTAGAATTGTGTCAAGCTCTGGTGTTCCTAGCCCTATCTAGTGTTCTTCGTGCTTTCAAAATAGTAGTCCTGCTTTCAATGCATTGGCTAAACATAAGAGGAAAAAAAATCAGATGATTTAAAAAAAAGCTAAATATTAGCCTTGGAGACATATAGGTCAACGCCTATGAATACAGATGAACATTTTAAATATGTGCTGATTTACTGTCTCCTTTTGGTTCACTCAGAGATCATTCAGCTCCCAGCTTTCATCAACTATTAGCAGAATTTCTTCTAACTTAGTAGTCACTAACATTATTAAAATGCCCATACTAAACAATACACTTTTTCTCACAATCTTGTTTTAATTACTCTTTTCGCACTTGGGCAGCTAATGGACTTGTTGAGGTAAATGATTTATGTGAGGAGGGGGTATTCACATCTTTTTTTTTTTTAAATACAGTCTTCACAACAGTCATTTGTTTTGTTTCTTTCAGGTCAGACACTTTGTTAAGAAATTGTTTCCCTGAACACCATCTTGACTATTCCTTCAGTACTCACCAGAAACATCTAATTTCGGCTATTTATAATTTAATAAGTACACTAAACGCAGATCCTATAGTTTCTCTCAAAGAATCTTGAGAAAAATGACCTTGTGTTGGTATTGAGGAAGGTCAATGGGAAGATATTTTAAAAATGATCCATTCCTCCTCTATTTGTCTATTACAACATTATTCAAACTTGGTTAATATCAGTAAATAGATGAACAAAAATTTGCTAATGGATCATTATTCTAAAGTGTTACCAATCAGGTTTTAATAGTGTGTAAAATTTCATTTTTGGGTCCCTTTATGTTGTCTACTAATGCAGAGTTCAAAATGCACAATTTTAGCCCAGATTTTGACTCGCCGACAGGTTTTGAGAAATCGCCAACAAATGCCTAAAAATCAAAGGCAACTCTGTGTTCGTTCATGCGAGTAACTATCACACAGTGAGAACTATCAAAGACGTGATCTGAGAGAATCGCTGATGAGTCACTGACACCCGTGAGATATTTGGCATGCTAAATATCTGGAGCAGTCTGTGATTCAAAATCATGCTGTGTGGAATGTGTTCTGATTGAAAAAAACATCTTCAGCCAATGAGAGAGCAGCATCCACTAGTATAGGTATCTGCAGGCCAGCGGAAGGTTGGGGGAGAAATTATAAGTGCTTCATTTTAGTCTTTTTTGGACCCAAGAAATGAAGGAAAAACTAGTGTACATTTGTCAGGAGCACTTGTGTGTGTTAGACATGTCATCTTAGGAATACCACGACCGGCTCGACAAAGAAAAAAAGTTAAGGAGAAATTTCTAATTCCCTCCAAAACCCAGTTTAGTTTCTAGCTTACTAAAGTCTTCTTTCCCATTATGTAGTTAATAACAAAACGTTATCTGGGTATACCCTGCATTGTTTTCATGTTAATTTTTGCTTGTTTGGTTGTGAGACATTTTTTGCAGACTCAGACAAAGTTGTCGCCGATTTTTCCTATTGTAAAGTCATGCAGTGTGAAACCCCATCGCTGATCCATCTTGTAGTGTAAACACAGCAGCAACTAAATGCTGCCCCAAAGAGTCATGCAGTGTGAAAACACCTGTGAAACGACTACTTCGAAAATCCTCTAGTCTAAACTCAGCATAACCAAGAGGAGCAACAAGACAAAAACACAAAGTTAAGAAAAATGAAACTAAGATGTCACTGTCAGAACTGCGATTGGAAAAAAATGGGACATACTGACCAGCCATCACTAATATTTTTAGCACTCCAAAGATTAAGCCCTTTTTATGAGAGTGGCTAGAAAGAAAGTCACTTCCATGCCAGTCCAGACTATAACTGGAGATTGTGAGAAGCCGCGTGACAACAGCTGAATGGCTTTGAAAGTAACTGCCGTGGTTTGATGAAGTGAAAATTGAGCACTTTGGCCTGACAGCAAAGTGCTATGTTAAACACAAACCACAGAGAGAACAACACCCAAATAACGTCATCTTACAATCGAGCGTGATGTTGGAGCATAAAAGTCTGAGGTTACTTTTCAAAATTTGAAAAACTAGCTGTGATAAGTGGCCAAATGAACAGAATCAAATAAAGACTGAAAAACCTCCATGATACCAGCAAAAATACCTTTATCCAGCAGAAAACTACACAGCAGATAAAACTGCAACTATTATTTGACTATAAAATTCCTGTTCACAAATGTGTCTATGTAAACTGGCAAACCTTCTTTTCATTTATAAAAAAAAACAAAACAAACAAAAAACATACGTATTTAGAGAGAGAAGTCACCTAGAAGAGTCTTGGGGTTTGTGAGACCAAGCTGTACAACGGGGTTCTCCAGGATAGCCTGAAACAGTGGACTGTTGGTATCGATGCCTTTGTCCAGATCCTCAGGACTGGGCTTTCTGTCACCGAGCAGCCATTCGCACTGTGTGGGAAAATAGATTTAACATTAAAACAAGTCACACTTTAATAAGAATCATAACTAGTTAGAAATTTGAGGCATCTTAATTAGCAGAAGAAATGACACAATATACTTGATACAATTCTTTAAGTGTTTACATACAGCTGCATCCTGTTGATTATTATTGACGCGGAGAGCATCGATCACTTCCTTCTCATCGAAGCCCATCTCCATTAGTGCAATCACTGCCTGCTTACACACAAACGACACAACGCATCTCATTCAAAATGGCTTGGGCATATATTAGTGCTACAGCAATGTTTGAGTTTAAAACTCAACTGTTCTTCTTGTGTTTCTCATGACTCTCACATGACACTAACCCGTGAGTCTGGTCTGAACTCTCTTTTTCTTCTGATCCTTTTAAAGATCTCTGTCAGTTCATCCTGTTTGGCCTCGTCTATGCTGGCCTGGGAGATCAAACGAGCACGGGCTGCTAAAGCTGTGGCAGAGGCTCCTGGAGCAGGCGCTGCAGCGGCGGCTGCCCCTGGACTCTCCTGTCCTGGTAGAGGCGCATCAACCATGGGGTCATCAACATGCTCAATCAGCCATTCCATAGCCTGGGTCACAGACATGCTGCAAACAGAGTGCTTTGTTATTAGTGGCTTTTATTTAACCCAACGAGAGCTGAGATTTTTTACAGTTCATAACCCACAAAACCATCTTTTTTGTTCATTTATCTGTTGTTATCTAGATTGTGGTTCTCAACCTTTTTCACTTCGAGGCCCACCTTTTTCTCTGAAAAATTTTTGAAGACCCAAACTGATTGTCTAGAGCAGGGGTGACCAAACTCTGTCCTGGAGGGCCGGTGTCCTGCAGATTTTAGCTCAAACTTGCCTTGACACACCTGCAAGGATGTTTTTAGAGTAGAAAGCCTAGTAAGAGCTTGATAAGCTAGCCCAGGTGTGTCTGATTGGGGTTGGAACTAAACTTTGCAGCACACCGGCCCTCCAGGACCATGTTTGGACATGCCTGGTCTAGAGAAAATGCTTATTTTAAAGCTTTATTTATTAGCAAAACATTTATTTTGCCCTCTATTACTCCCTAGTTTTTCAACATTTTTTTATGTATATATGTATATATATAAAGTTATATATATATATATATATATATAAGAATATATATATATATATATATATATATATATATATATATATATATATATATAAAACTTTAAAAACACACAGACAGGTTCAAAGCTCCTGAATTCTTTCCTTCAGTTATTCTTTAAAGCTGCAGAGTATTTGGGCCTTTTCTTCATCTATTGATTTATATCCACTTAACCCCAACCCTAAATGTAAAATAAAGAAACAACCATCTAAATATGTTGAAAAAAATCGATCTGATGGTGGTTTAGTTTGTAGCTGGACATTATTAGAGTTCGCTGACAGGAAAGGTGAACGGCTGTTCATAAATGAAACACCACAGATTGTTGCTAGATCCTCCTGTACGGACTCACTTTAGTTATAAAACGCTCGCAAGATGTTAATTTGGACAACTATGAGGATGTTTTAAAGTGTTCACACAAAGAAAAAATACATAGTTTGTGAATCAGGAGACTTGTGTGACTCTGATACAGTATGAGTTGCAGACGTGAGGCAAGCGTGAGCTGCTTATTATAAAACAACATTACCTTTACATTTGCATAACTGTTTGCTTTATACAACTGAGAACATAGTCCCATTTGACGCGCAGCGGTTGGAAATTTAAGCCACAGTTTTTTCACAGTGAGGCTGTTTTTGCACAGTCCAAATTAGTCTGCTCAATCACAGAAAACAGGAAATGCCATTACTATTTTATTTTTAATATGACGTTTAATAATGACATCAAATAATTATAGTACAATATTAAAGGTAATTTTAAGCCATCTCACAGTCCACCTGCAGGATCGCTGAGGCCCACTGATTGAAAATCTTTGATCTATATAATAATTTAGCATGTTTTCATATCATGCCTTAACGCAGCATTTCTCAATCCCCGTTCTTACGCCCTCCTCCTCTACATATTTTGCATGTCTCTCCTATTTAACAAAGCTGATTTAGATTAGCGTTATACCGCGGTCACACTTGAGTTTAAGCATGTGAATTTTGTAGTACAGCGCTGCGAAAAGCTGCGAGATTAAACAAGATGATTAGACATTTAGAAAAGCGAGAGATTTGTTCATATTTTACATATCTGTCCAGAGAGGTCATGTTTTGATCTTTGATTGGTCTTGCACAGTCACGTGATGCAATTTCCCAGGTTAGAGTTAACCAAGCTTAAACTTTGCAATGCAGCAAACTACGAAACTAGTTGCACGAACTTGCATTTTCAGTCTGACACATTCGCATCGTATGAATGGAAATCTATGGGGCCTGCAACACTGCATACTTTGGATGTCTCCTTTGTCTGTCACACCCATTACAAATCTTTCAGTCTCTGCTAATGAGCTGATGATGTGAAACTGGTGTGTTTGGTTAAGAAGACAAGAAAAACAAGCTAATAGTCCTACAGAATTGTGGGTGAGAAACACTGGCTGTTTCTCAATATGCGTTGTTCACCTATCTTGCATCCTTGTGTTCTTGTGTAACGTCATCATCAACCGCAAAAGTTCAGTTACAAAACCCAAGACCGCAAGAACAGAGGACACGCGAAAGTTCCTGAATGTGTTCTTGATATCGAGGATGCGTTTTGTGCATGTTATATATATTCAAAAGGGGGAAAACAAGAAATCGTTGTATGAATTCCGTAGGTGATGCAGTGGCGCAGGTAATGCTGTCGCGTCACAGGAAGAAGGTTGCTGGTTCGAGCCTGGGCTGGGTCAGTTGGCATTTCTGTGTGGAGTTTGCATGTTCCCCCACAGTCCAAAGACATGCACTATAGGTGAATCAGGTAAGCTAAATTATCCATATTTTATGTGTGTGAAAGAGAGTGTATGAGATTCCATGATGGGTTGCAGCTGGAAGGGCATTCGCTGCATGAAACATGTGCTGGATAAGTTAGAGGTTCATTCCACTGTGTCGACCCCAGATTAATAAAGGGACTAAGCTGAAATGAAAATGAATGAATGAACGAATGCTGTAATGTTTTATTAATTTCCAGTTGCGTGAATGCGTGAAGGTCATGTGACCATCAAAAAGAATGCAGCATTTCATTTCTCAGAGGTAGCGTTCTCTGTTCTCATGGTCTCAGAAAGTTCATTCAACCGAGGTAACTTGGCAAGAACGGTCTCCACAAGAACACGAGTCCGTTCTCTGCATTCTTGGAATTGAGAAACAGCCAAGGAAAATGAGCTGGTGGTCCTCCAGGAACGCGGTTAAGAAACACTGATTTAGATGACCATCTCCATGCATGAACTGTGTTCTCACTGATATGTCCCTACGCAGTGTGCATTTCCTAGACCCTTCCTTATTGCTCACTACCTGCGCATGAGAAAATCTTATTTCACTTCAGAACGTTCATTCATGTATTTGTGGCATTGCCTTCAGCGTCTTACAAGTAAATTGTGAAGCATGAGCTTAATGAGAGCAAGCGCAGAGAAAAAGTGAAATGTGTAGCAGGGGGAGCACCTATTAAAGGACTGGGATTGAGAAATGCTGCCTTAAAAGGTACACGAAACACCCCAATATACAGTCCTAAAAGCATATAGTATATACAGTATGAGCATATCAATTCTACATCAAATGTCTACCAATGTGTCTCTAAAGTTTGCTTCAGCAAGGTGCTTTGAACCCTTGAAATTAAATCTTAAAAAAAAAAAAGCATTTTTTTCTTTCGCTTTCCTGACTTATGACAGAGGTAATGTAGTTTTTTTTACTTACTTGCCAGAAAATCACTAGTTCAGTTGTAACTGCAGATGTTTCTTAGGCCCTGTTCGCACCTCTTATTAACATGCATTTTACAATAATAAATAACTTGGTTCCTTCAAAGCAACATTCAGGAATGCAAGATTAAGCCTTGAAACCTTTGGATGATGTACGTGTTGGATGTTTTGTAATCAATTCCTAATTATTTGCATAATGTTTTTAATTCACCAAGTGAAATTAGCTTCCTCTGTAAAACAGAGTAAAGTGTCTAGGCAGGAGTCAATCATACATACAAGAAATCCATTATGATGCATGTGTGATCAGTCTTCCGTGTGATCTTTTGCATAATACTTTTATTCAAGGATACCTAAATAAATTACCTTTTATGTTCTAAAATATATATTTTTTTAATATTCTATCAAAGCAACAGCATATTTACATATTAAAACTGTAAAACAGAATAAAGAGTTTAGGCATATTAACTGCAAATAAAATTTGTTTAATTCATAAAGCTGCCTATTTTATTAAAAAAATTATATTTTTCTTAATTGTGTTTTTAATAAAGTTTTTATAAACATAGTATACACATAACATTTACTTAGAAAACTTACATTCACAAAAAATAAACAAATAGATAAAAAAAATATCATACATAAATAATATTAACAAATAAATAGTGTCAGCTTAGAAAAAAAAGATAATACATTAAAATAAAATAAATAGTAAATAAATAAATAAATTGCAAATAAAGAATAATCATTGTTCTAGTACTATTAATAAGATTTGTATTTTTTTATAACTTGTGCTAGTTTTCACAGTACTAAAGATCAGTGACATCCAATACCCAAAACTGGACAAAAAAAACGCCATGTGTAAACAGTAATGTGTTTCCTTTTCCCACTTGAGATCGGATTGACAAAAATGCCAGGTGTGAACAAGGCCTTACTGAGCTTTCATACATTTAATGCACACACTCTCTGAAGAAGAAAGCCAGTGTGAAAGCACCCTTGCAGATGTTTACTTCTAAATACTGAAGTGCATGAGATGGGGTGCGAGAACTCACTGAGAGTACTTACTGGTTTAAGCGCAGAGCCTTCACAGCACGACTCTCAGGGAAACCCATCTCAGTCAACTGCTGCAGGGCCGTTTCATCCACGCGGTCCTCCTCATCCTCATCTAACATGGCTGCCAGAGAAGGGATATAAAAATAATATTTAGGACTAATCACATACAAAACAAAAATTAACATTTACAAAATAATTTAAAGTGTACTGTGTATACCGATTGTATAAATAGAAATACAAACACATCAATATATGTATATGTGTATAAACATGTATAGAAAAAATGTTTCAATAATATATATATATATATATACTGTATATCATAAATCATATACAGTTGAAGTAAGAATTATTAGCCCCGCTGAATTATTAGCCCCCTATTTATTATTTCCCCAATTTCTGTTTAACAGAGAGAAGATTTTTTTCAACACATTTCTAAACATAATAGTTTTAAAAACTTATCTTTAATAACTGATTTATCTTTGCCATGATGACAGTAAATAATATTTTACTAGATATTTTTCAAGACAATTATATACAGCTTAAGGTGACATTTAAAGACTTAATTAGGTTAAGGTAATGAGGCAAGTTATTGTATAACGATGGTTTGTTCTGTAGACTATCGAAACAAAATATAACTTAAAGGGGTTAATAATTTTAACCTTAAAATGGATTTTTTTAAAACTAAAAACTGCTTTTATTCTGGCCGAAATAAAACAAAGAAGACTTTCTCCACAAGAAAAAATATTATCAGACATACTGTGAAAATATTCTTAATCTGTTAAATGTCATTTGGGAAATAAAAAAATAAATAAAAAAAATCAAAGGGGAGCTAATTATTCTGACTTTAACTGTATATTAATAAAGATGTAAATTAACTATTTAAAAAAATGTGTGCAAATTCATATATATATATATATATATATATATATATATATATACATATATAATACATAAATATAACATGCACATATGTAAATATAAACTTGTATTTTCTACACAATTAGTCACGATTAATCATTAAACAGAACTACTTCACTCTCATATGATTTGCAAAGAGTGCACCAAATATTAAAAATGTATTTAATCTATTAATCCAAGTGTCCATCCATACATCTATCTCTTACCATTGGCCTTTTTAAAAAGCTCTACAGCATCAGGATTCAGAGCCAGCAGCTTCTGAGCGACCTCGATAAGCGAAACTAGAATCTTTCTCAGCTCTGTCTGAAACTGACAGAAACCAAAAAAAAATGTCAAATGCAAAAAAGAATAAACTTTTAAGAGTAAACTGAACTGAACAGACTCACATCTCTGATGTTGTGCTGTGTTACTGTACGGTCAGTGTTACGAGTGGACAGGCTTGCTGTGGCTTTGAGGATGGCATCCTTATCTGGAGCTTTGTTGTCTTGCTTCTTCTTTCAGCAAGAACAAACAGGGTTCAATTTTGCAGAATCATATACCTTACACATTTAACACACACTATGTTTTAAAGGGAAAGTTCACCAAAAAATCAAAAATACCTGTCATTTTACTAACCCTCAGGGATAAAAGGTGACTTTTCTCTTCAGCAGAATATTAGGATCAGTTCCTCCATAAATGAAATTCTGTTCTGAATTACTCACCCTCATGACATTCAGTCTTCACCTTCAGAACACACATTAAAAAACTTTGGATGAAATCCAAAAGCTTCTACATCCTCCATTGATAGCAACAGTCCACAGACGTTCAATGTCCAGAAATGGAACAAAAAACAGTGCAAAATTTCAGTGGTTCAACTGTAATCATATAAATCTTCATGAACACAAACACTTTTCTGCAGCAAAAAAAAAAAAAAAGGTAAATAAGACTTCACCAGATCAGGGGGTGCAGATTTTATGTGAAGTATGACTATTTGCTATTAAAATAAGCAGCGCAACAGGCCAGCACATCCACCCTGACCTTAGGCAGAAGACATACATGGCCAACGTCATTTTTACAGTTTTTAGCCAGACAAAGGTGGAAATAAAGTTTTGTGTGATTATATTTGAACCACTGAAGTGACTGGGTATGTTTGACATTCCTTTCTTGACTTCAAAAGTCTCATGATCATTGCTGTTTATGGAGGATGAGGGAGCTCTCGAATTTCATCTAAATTGTCGTAACTCGTTTTCAGAGATGAATGAAGGTCTCAGGAATTGGAATGACATGAGGGTGGGTGAGTAATAATAACAAAACTTTTATTTTTGAGCCAACTGATCCTTGTGAAATCATTGTGAACAGTTTAACTCAAGCTAGTGGTTACCATCACTTTGAGAGGCAAATGAACATACACAAGCAAAAATAATTAACATCTGTGCCTCCTGACAATATATTGATGTCTGAAAATGCAAAACAATTAGTTTGTGTAAGAAACTGATCACTATTTACCACATTTTATCCACTGCCTCAGCTAAAGGGTCTGACTGTGTTCAAGACAGTCTGTGGCAGGGGTCACCAAACTTATTCCTAGAGGGCTGGTGTGCTGCAGAGTTGATCTCCGACGCTAATCAAACACGCATGAACAAGCTAATCAAGGTCTTACAGGGTATACTTCCATAGAAGCAAGTTTAAGCTGAACTCTGCAGGACACCGACCCTCTCGGACCAAGCTTGGTGACCCCTGCTCTAGGGTTTGAGATTCAAGTCACATAATGGTGGATGCAGCTATGCAGGAGTCAGAGATCACTCATGAGCAGATAATGTTTGTTTACAATGGTGAGAAAGGGCATGTGTCCTTCAAAATAGTACATAGTTGATGTTATTTTGAATGCTGCTATATAAAAAGCTGTAAACAAACAACATCAGCGGACTGAATGTTTTGCTGTCATGAACTCACCAAGAACTGTTTGCTAATAATTTTGTAAACGAGATTTAGTTTCCGCCCAACAGATGATTTTACAAGGCGTCAATGTATCATCAGCAGCCACTGGTGTTCATTTTGTTTTACTTTTAAAAATCTTTTATAGACTCTCAAAGTGCTGGTAATCATTGACTTAAAATTAATAAAATTTTTAGGATTCTGCAGGGAAAAAAAAGTATGACGGTCTGAGCTTAAGTAGTGCAAATTTAAAATTTGGGTGAACTATTTCTAAATTAAAACTGTCAGCAGATACCTTCTCTTCAGAAGATATGTCGGTCATTTTTGGTGGAGCTGGTGGAGGTCTTTTCTTTAACAGTATTAAACAATCTAAAACACAAACAAACATGAATCAGGGTTTGTGTCTGTTTGTATACAACATTAAATATAAAGAACATACAAAAACATGACGCTACTGCTTCATAGGTGGTTCTAAACCATAAATCTGAAAGAATTAGAAAGCTATAATAAAATTAATTATTTAAAATTGCAATAAAACTTACTGGGCTTTTTTATTAAACTGTTATGCAAATTGTCAATAAACCTTTTTATGATCTTATTCTTACTCTTCAGTTGGTAAATCACACAAACGAACAACAAGGGCCTTGAAGTATACAAGGCTAGGAGCCTGAGGACCAGTCTAACCCAAAGTTGTACCTTTATCTTTAAGATTTTCCTCAGAGACTGTTTTGGATTCAGTGAGAATTCTCTCAGTGGCAGCATGAATGAGTTTGTGATGTGTAAGGGTTTTAGGATCCTCTAGACTTCCATGGACATACTGGAAGAGAAGAGAAGAAAGACACAAACAGATATTAAACATTTTTAAAGACATACCAAAGTCTTCCAAATGGATAAATTGCATAAAAATGCAAATAATTTTCATTTTAGTTCTGGCAAAAATAGTAATAAAAAATAATAAATTGGATTTTAAAAAAATAAATAAATGAATTGAATTACTTTGTGAAGTCTGGTGTGAGTAATTAGTTTTTTAAACGATTTATCAAGTAAGATCTTGATTCAGCCTTGCTGTCACGTGAATAGATTACATTTTAAAACATTGTAATAATTTTATAGTATCTATGATTACTCTACACATTACCTTATAAATGCAGCCTTTGTGAGCATATGAGAATATATCTATTTTTAAAATCTTGCCAACCCCTTGACGTTTGAATAGTAGTGTATGTTAGCTTTATAAAAAATCCTATCATAAGTCTACCCCCCCCCCACCCCCCCCCCAAAAAAAAACAGGCAATCCTGCCAACCACCTTTATAGGGGATCTAGTAATCTGGTAGAACCATGATGCATTTGGTGTCTTTTTGTTACCATGGTCCTTTGCCATACAGTGTATGGTACTAAATAATACATGGATCCTGCTTTTTACATGACACCCCAATAGCCATCAAAGAACACCGTGATGTAGCACAGTGTATGTTCATGAAACTTGTCAATGCATTGTCATTATTACATACAGAGCCATGGTATTTTTCAGCCACATTACACACTGAAGATACAGTAGAACCAGACTTGACTTAGTATCTGCTAAAGTGCTTACAACCTCATCCACACCCATTAAAACCACAAATGCTGATGAAATCTTCATTGTTTACATGAATGGGTGACAACGTGCATGGAGCAACACGATTGCGTGTTGCTAACAGAGATATTACAACAAAACGAGCTTGTCAACAAGTTAATGTCAGCTGTACACTGTAAGTCAAGCAGTGTGACAGTGGTAGTTACTGTACTGCCTCAGAGACGGAGGTGACGGGCAAGCTTGCTAAATTATAAATAGCACTGTCGACTCGTCTGCTAGTTACTAAAAATACTTGGCAATGGCACTGAAAATCCAGCGGGCCTGTCCTGCCCGGGTTGGCTAACAGTGCCAGCTAACCGATGGCAGACCTACATGCTTTAAGCATTTCTCCTTGAGTTTCTCTATTGTGGTGTCTTCCGTGACTTCCTCCAACCACTCGGATCCCTCCATTGTACAGACGTGGACCTTCAGGACTTTGCCTGCGAAGATCTTCTCCTCCTGTACGAACATTTTAGCGGCAGCTGTAGCGGTGGCGGCGGCAGCAGGACCGCAGCGCTCCCCGCTGAAGACGCTCCGCGAGCCCGCTGTCTACAGCCCGGAAAGCCGCCCTCTTCCTCGCTTAAACCTGCCCTGGCAACAGACGCGAGCTCACGGTCTCATTCGAGCATTGTCAGGCCGTCCGTTCTGTAGTGCCGGCGACTCCGGAGGACTGATGTTTTTGTCGACGGGACAGATAGGTTTCCTGACTCGCCGCTGCAGGGACGCTTGCTCCGTTGACACCTGCGATCGACAGACAGCGGTCGGTACTGTGCTGTCATGCGCATGCGTCAGATCCTAAACATGATTGGTGAATGTGCGCATACACGCAGACGCGTCGTGGTCGTGCTGCAGACTATCAAAACACTAGTTGGGAGCGGCGAGACCTGATCCTGGATTTTTCCGATTAACCGTTTTACAATGTTAAAGGAAAGCTTACTACTTTTAAAAGATACTACCAGCGACAATACTAATTAAAACACATTTCACTTAGAGACTCTAGCTATTTATTATAAGCTGTTGCTTATTTATTCAGTCCTGTTCTTATTATAAACAGCCTACTAGTTCCTATTTGTAGGATACATAATAAATACATTAAGTACAATTAAGTACTAGTTTCAGTAGTAAACAGCACTATTATATTGTTATAGTAACAGATTGCACATTTTTGACACTGACTTTAAATAAGCATCTGTTATTAAGAAATGAATTTTTCTGTTTTGCCATAAAGGTAAAGTTGGTTTTATATTTGCACATTCGTTCATTTAGCCGTCTCTATATTGTTTACCATGGTACTTTGAATATTCAATCGGAATTAGCATGCAAGTATGACTTCTAAACAACATTACCACTATCTAATTTACTGTGAACAATGCTGCACTTTGATAGTCATTTGCTGATATATATATATATATATATATATATATATATATATATATATATAGTTAATTATTTATTTATTTTTAAAACTCATATTTCCATTTATATTTGTACAGTACATAAAGATTGAAGAAAAATACTTACAGTAATTCACCCAACTGTATTTTTTTAATTTAAAGTGTGCAGCACATCCACAGAAGTCAAACTGGCTTACTACAAGTGAGATTTATTCATATTTCTATTCATATAAATATACAGTGTGCAAATATTTTAGAAAAATATTTACAGTAATTCTCTCAAACTTTAATTTTATGATTTTAAAGGGTGTAGTATATTCGCTTAGGCCAGACTGACTTACTACAAGTGAGATTTTTCCCATAGATTAATTCATATTTGTACAGTACACAAATATTTTTGAAAAACAGTAATTGAGTCTAAGCTGTAGGTATTTATGTAGTTCAGACACCACACTTCTCCAGAATCTTTCCCCCTAACAGACCCGCTTTTACTTCGAAAGATCGCCTGCAATAATTAATTTCATCTGAATTCATATTATATAAAGATATCAATAGGCCATATTAAGATTATTTGAAGGGCCTTGAATTTATTTAACCAACACAGAGCTTGGGAAAGTCTTGTAGATGATATTATAAACTTTGGCTGAAAATGTTAGGGAACTAAAAATATTTGAAAATTATGTTCTTTTTAAATTGATGCCCAAATAACTAATGTTCTCCTCTGCTGGAGAGATTATAAGGGCTCAGCGCAGTCAGTGTTTAGCTCTCTGAGCATTTTGATCATTTAAAGGGTTTTAAATGATCAGTTTATTAAGATTTTTTTAAATGTATGTCCCACTAAATTAAGATGCTGCTGCTGTGACTAATTTAGGCTGCATTTACACTGCAGGTCTTGATGGTCAATTCTAATTTTTATTTCAGAGATTTGAGCTTTTCAGTCATAAACGTCTCTTCACATCAGCATTTTAAAGCTTGTTTAACAGCCCTGTGCTTGTTTTATGGTGTTGCAATTCTATTAAACATGTGCTGTAATAAAATAAATTAATCATAGTTTTTGATGCAGTTTTGTCCTCTTCGTTTACAAAAATCTGGATATTTTTGTAAACGAATATGTTTATGCCAGAATAGTTGCCAGTTCAGGCATCGCGGTGGCACAGAAGGTAGTGCTGTCGCCTCACAGTCAGTTGGCGTTTCTGTGTGGAGTTTGCATGTTCTCCCTGCCTTCGCGTGGGTTTCCTAAGGGTGCTCCGGTTTCCCCCACAGTCCAAAGACATGCGGTACAGGTGAATTGAGTAGGCTAAATTGTCCGTAGTGTATGAGTGTGTATGGATGTTTCCCAGAGTTATTTTTGTTAAAGTGTGTTAATGGAAAAAAAAAAATTTACAGTTCTTGCCACAGTCATCTGTAGCTGCTCACGGTGATTATCAAACTATCAAAATGTTACACACTATGATCATTTTTAAATCTCATTACACTGTAAAGCATTATTAGTAGACTTTAAAGTGAGTAAATCTAAAGCTATTACTTGACTTTACTTTAAAAATCTGTAAATCTGTTGATTTATTTTTACAATGATCATTGACTTGAGAAAGGGTAAAATGAAACATTTAAAAAAAAAATTCTATCTTTCTATTTCAAAGATGGGTTAAATTATGCAACATTATCAGTAGTGTAAAGTAACTAATTACAAATACTCAAATTACTGTAATTATTACAGTTTTTCACAGATATTGTAATTTACTAAATAGTTTTATAAATGTGTACTTTTACTCTTCCTTGAGTACATTTTTAGTGCAGTAATTAGTACTTTAACTCCACTACTTTCCTTCAACCTGCAGTCACTACTTTACTTTTTATAGTCTATAGAGATTAGAAATATCAGTCCTGTGATTCCTCCCCAATCAAATCACACACAGAAGGTAAATCGTCACATAATGAACCACCTCAAGACATGGGCGATTTATAAATGCAGCAAACTGTTTGAAAGCATTAAAACGTCAAAATCGTTACAAGTATTAACCCAGAGACTGATCAGATGCATGTCACTGATGAGAAGATGATGGGTGTTTACTGTATGATGACCAAAATGGCCTTAAACACTCAGCAGGCACAAGACATCAACATGATGTTAGAATGACGTTGTACCCCAGTGTCGTGGAGACGTTGCATTTTGTTTGGAAATGAAAATCATGTTAACGTCAGAACTTAAGGTCAGGCCAGCTTCCAACCTAAAACCAATCGAATATCAGTGTCCAATGATGTTACGACTTGACGTTGTGTGGACGTTACCACCATGACGTCTATTAGACATTGGATTTTGGTTGCCACACCTGATGAATAATTGTCAGTATTTGATGTCAATATGACATTGGTTGAAGATGTTGGCTCTACCTTGGATTTTGGTCACTTTCCAACACAACCTAAAGTCAACTAAATATGAAAGTCATTTGACATTATTATTGGACATCAAAATAAACTTGTCCTTAGATGCTGGCTAGACATTGAATTGTGGTCACCTGACATAACCTAAATCTAACCTAATGTTAATGTCTTATGATGTTGTGTGCCTGCTGAGCAATAACTAATTGCACTACAGAATGTTACGTTTACACACACATGCACAAATTACATGTAAATGCATCAGCTTTTACAGCGTAATACTTACTACTCTTGAGTACTTTAGAAAGCTCTACTTTTGACTCATACTTTGAGTAAATTTTATAACAAATACCATTACTCTACTTACACTACATTTTTAGGCAAGTAAGGGTACTTTTACTTGAGTATGATTTTTCAGTACTCTTTCCACCTCTAAACATTAATAATATGTACACACCAAACCAACTGTCAAACTGACTCTGTACCAGTGAATGAAATTGTGAGCAACACCCTTAAATATTAATCTAATTTAATAATTAGAGATAATATGCATGTAGCAAACGGTCAACTAAAGTTCTAAAGACATGATCCATGATAAATAAAACCTTGAATTTTCAAACTGACCATGAATTATAGTATCTTCATCTTTTTCAGTTGGCTCATTTCTACTGCCGGTGATGCCTTTTTAGCTGGAGCCTCCACTTCTAAAAGAATAAATATTTCAACAAACCATTGTTAGCATTACATCCTACAGTACATATTAGCGGGCTAAACTTTATTTCCTTTTTTTTCTTAATAATCATTCATGCATTCATTTTCTTTTCGGCTTAGTCCCTTTATTAATCCGGGGTCACCACAGTGGAATGAACCACTAATTTATCCAGCACATGTTTTACGCAGCGGATGCCCTTCCAGCTGCAACCCATCTCTGGGTAACATTCACACTCACTTATTCACACACATACACTACGGACAATTTAGCCAACCTATTTCACCTTTACCGCATGTCTTTGGACTGTGGGGGAAACCGGAGCACCCAGAGGAAACCCATGCGAACGCAGGGAGAACATACAAACTCCATACAGAAACGCCAACTGACCTAGCTGAGGCTCGAACCAGCGACCTTCTTGCTGTGAGGCGACAGCACTACCTACTGCGCCACCATGTCACTCCTAAATTTTCAATTAATTTTAAATAAACGCAACTATATAAACTGAACAAGACTCAGGTTGTGTAATAACCTAAATCATGTATGTTTACATAGCCACATTTGCTATATTAAAGGAAACAAAATGAGCTGAAGAAATTGTCAGAATCCTCTTCCAGGACTAGGGTTATAAAGCAGAGGATTAGATGATAATTTAAATGTATGTACTCTTTTGTTTTTACCTCCAATATGTGGGTTCTTCCTTCACAACATTTCACATAAACCATGAAAAAAAAAACAGGGAGCACTAAAGTGGATAAATTATTTTTTTCAATGTCAATGTCCGATTTAAATGACAGCTCATGTACTGCTAAGGTGCAAAAGCAAACTGAACATCACAACTAGGCATGGGCCTAGGTAGGTAGGTAGGTAGGTAGGTTACTTTATTTATACCCGAAGGTAGATTTGGTTTGCAGTCAAGAGTCCTCATCTCACAACAGTGCCACACAAAGGAACTCACAAAGTAACAACAACAACAAATGCACATTAAGACATAAAACGTAAACATAAAGAATAAATAAATAATCCTGTATAAGATTCTGACGGTGTGATAACTTTGGATAAAAATTTCATGGTCTCATGGTATTGTGGTCACTGCTCTAAAACATATTCTTTTTTAATGTCTGGGTAAAAAAAAATTTAAAAAAATTATCCTTTGAACACAATATATTTTATTTTTTGAAAGATTTATAATATTTGAGCTGTGAACATGTCAGGCTGTAACGAACCAGACAGAGTACCAGAGGTGCGAGCAAAATAAGGACAGTTTATTAGGCACAAAAGTTCAACACAGGCAGGCTGCCGCACACGGAGCCTTGGCGTGCGCAGCACTGGAAAGATTATTGAACTTTCCGATGAGAAGAAGTAGGAACCTGCTTGGATGGTCAGTGAAGGGGTAAAGAAGGAGAGCTGGCGATTGCTGAAAAACCCCGGCTGGGGACAGGATACTGTCAGGCACTTGAGAGCTGGCAGAGCAGAGGTAAGACCTGAGAGCACACACTAGTAGCACAAAAGACAGTATTACTGGACAGGACAAATAACGGGTTGATGAGTGAGACTGGTTGATTCACAGACAACGAGACGTACAACAGA